GAGAAGGACACTTAACATTTATCACTATCAAAAGTAATTAAAAAGTAGATTATTCACACGTTAACTACTGACAACTGATCGCTAAGATCTGGCCAAGAAATCAGTTGAAAGATAAGCTGTATAATCGGTTTTGAAATAGATCTTTTTCATAAACAATTTTAACATACGATTTCTAGAACTGAAAACCATACACATGCACATGATCGATCAATTTGCTGGTAGTAGCGGCAACCAGTAAAAAACCATTTAACAGATCAAAAATAACTTTTGAGAGAACATCGCATGAAATCATGCTCATGCTTGAACTAAATCAAAAATAAAATCAGCAGGAAACTTCTAGAGAAAATCGGACTAATGCAACAGTTACTGCCATGTATGATAGTCTGAACAAAAACATACCAGTTCATAGACCTGGCAGGGCTCAATGATATACAATAGATCATAACAGAAGAAGGCCAAACTGCTGTTTAGACGTTTCGCCAAGCTTAACCCCTTTTTACAACGTTCATGTACTTCAGTTAAGAGACAATCAAACAATTGCATGATACATCGAAAAACACTTTCTTTGAGCTGCATGGGTGGAACATCCTCGCCTATGATAAGAGATAAGAAAAAAATGAGCATGTTACTCGGTAATCCTAAAATATCTGAATCGCCGTGATACTAGTTAACGCCACAAGGGAAGGACAAGAGATAGCCTCTGATTGCTGGGAGGCCACAACGAAATTTAGTAATATTAACTTCTAAATAGGCATACTACATTGGAGTATGATAAGAGGTCATTGTAGGAACTTCTTTTCGAGTTACTTCAAGCAAGTACCAGCTGCTAATAATATCTATATTGTAATTTGTTCTTGTAGGATAACTACACGAATAGTGAACTCTTCATGAGGCACTCAGATCTATAAGCAAGGGACACCTTTAGCATTTTTCTTTATGTTGACATCAATATGCGGCATTTTAGTGCAAATAACTTACTTGGGTCCTTGGTTTTTGGTTTCTAGACAATCAACCAAATTACAGGTCATCAGGTTCTTCGTGAATTTAGTTATGCAGTTCTTTCATTATTAGTGGGAGAGGCTAATTCCTAAAACAGCATTGCATGACAACTTTACAATAAAAAATTTATGGAAAAACGAAAACTGGATACCCCAAAAATACCTGAAGGTAGATTATGATCAAAAAGACGTGCCTGCTCCAATGCCATTGATTTAACAATTAACTCGAGGAAAAACCACGCCATTGATAAAACATCGTCATATACAGGTCCAACCCGGTAACCTTTAGCCTGTACAGCCAGTCGTAGTGCTCATCAACAAATAAATAAAACAAGAAAATTTACAGCAGATAGCTGTAGGAATAGGTAACATGGAGATATGCTCTATTAACTCTGGGTGAGATATAAGTCTAAGGAAATGGGCACATAAGTCTAAGGAAATGTGCACATCAGAACAAAGATAAGCTTGTAGTTTCATCGAGATGTGTGCACTTAATACCTTGCTTCTAGCTAAACTCCCCCACACAGTTGATAATCCAGGATAAACCGGTGGTTGATTGCCTCCAAAATCATCAAAAGAGTAATCAACAAAGGTGACCAGGAAACGATTTCGGTCAGCATCATCAAACGACACCTGCTGCACCCTATTAACCAAATTGAAAGATCTAGTCAGGACAAGGACAACACTAACTTGTGTTTTTTATGCACATGCTTACAAATTGAGAAGAATCGTACAGAAAAACATAACCTTGATACTTGATAATAAGTGAGGGTACAAGAAAAAGATCAAGCATGCTTGTTGTACATTTACTGTGTCTAGTCATACACAATATTTGCAACTCTAGTGACAGTTGACCATAAAAAGTGTAAGACCAATGACATCGTGCCATAACATTCTTTGGTCATTTGGCTACACCCTAAACCATTAGTATATAAAATGCTCTAATAAAGTTATCCCTGATCCTTTGGGTTTAAATTATTTATTGGGAAACGTTTATATGATCCAACCAGACAAGTCCTTTTATTAGTTTACTCGTATTAAAGTAGATTAAACCCAGTTGTGCTAAACACAGGAAAATGCATACCGAGTTAAAATATCAACCATGGCTCTGAATGCTGCGACCTGAAGCAAGTACAGGAAGGCAAATACTTTAGTGGTAAATGATGTAAAAAAGTCATGTGGACAGAAATAAGATCTACTAATGCTTATATAAAAAAAAAAATTGCTAAAGGAACCAGAAGATTTTAGTTGACAAACCTGAAGAGTTTCTCCACCATTGCCAATAAGATGAAGGAGCATGTTAAGAATTGGGTAAAGGAACTGAAGCAGGGCAGTGGAGTCAACGTGCTTCAAACTGTTTATTGCCTTGAGAGAAAGATTAAGAGCATGTTATAATACCAGTGGAAAAATTAAATAAAATGAGAAAGTTGATGTGACTACCTGCAACAGTTCTGAACCCCAGTGAGGTTTTGATTGAAGGGTATGTCTATCATACTCTAGACAGAAATCCCTGACACGTTCATTGGTGGGATAAAGCGATGAACAAAGTCTTAGTCGCAATTTGAAAATATTCTTGCCATCTTCCAAATAATCCAATCTATCCTGTGATTGTCAGAGACGGTATGATTGTCGACATTATGACATTATGTTCGAAATAGTGTTGTGTTGATCAATATATAAGAATTCTATAACACAATTCCTACTGTCATAACAAAAGGACACCTGAAATATAATTATCTCAGTGCTTATATCAAGGTTGAGAACTAGAACTGATTAACAGGTTCACCTACCACTATCACCAAACTAGACTAAATTACACACAAATACACAATGTGATAGCTACAACCTCATTTAAAGGTTTGTTATCTTTAATGATATCTTAAAGGGTTTTTTTACTGTGCTGAAGGTGACTACACCCTCAACTAGTCATCAGCTAAAGACCCTTGTTAACAGTCTAGCCTTTCTGTTCTTTATCTTTCTTTTATCTATGAACAATTATCATAAAGTCACTTTCCCAACTTTTGAGTCTCAAACATTCATGTGGACTTGACCCAAAAATACTAGCTAAGCACGCAAAGAAAATACCTTTGTGGTTTCCTGCAGATAGTGGGGAATCAGTTCTCTCATTACTGGTAGAGAAATATCAGAACGCGAGCTGCATCAATAATCAACAAAATTGTCAGCAACACGAATTATTTGAATTAACCTAGGCATACTCTTCTCCCAGCTTTTTATTACTGAAAGCGCAAACAGTCTAATCTATTTGAGGGTGTATACTCTTCTTCCAAATTCGTTTAGGTTTGTAAACTAGCACTTTTGCGCACACAGATGAAAAACGAGCCATTAACTATTAGTGATAAGGAAATCTAAAAAAGAAGCTTTTGTTCTAGGTACATAAAAGATCTAGTGATCACATGGCAGGCAAATTTCATATACATACTGGATATAGGTAGATAATGGAAGTGATGCATATCCAACAATTACCTGGAGAAACAAAATATAATTAGTAACTATAGATCAAATTCATCAAAAAGAAACAAGCAGAGAACTCTATGTAAATCTTACTGGTCTTGGAGCTTCAAGCTTTGTCTGGAGATCAACATGAAAAAAAGTGAACAGCAGATGATGTGATGGCGTCCATGTGGCAGGAAGAGACACCTTAAGTTCATCATGGTAACTAGCAGTTCTAGCTCCAACAGCAACTTGCGTATGAGCCCACTTCTGAAGTGACACACCAGGCTCTCTTGGATAGATTGCCTAGCCATATGGCCCATAACAAAAGTAAGAACCAAATAAAGACTCTAGAAAAAGGCCTGATCAGTTCCAAGACTGGTGATGGTGAAAATAATTACCTCGAGTGGTTGTTTTCGAACATCTGCATCATCCTTTCTCAATTCTACACGGATAAAGAGATTCCTCTTCCGACTCAAAGTAACAGCTATAGGATACACATAAAGGCAGTGGAAGAGATGTAGAAAAGGCTCGTTTCTTGTCGTGGAGCAGAAATCAAAAGCCTGGAATCATAAGATGGATATTCAGAGCAAGCTGCAGATAAATTATACCAAGGGCTAGTTCTAGCTTCATAACTAGAATTAACATATAGAATGATCTCTGATTCACTTTTTATATGCTTTAAACCCAAAATCTTATATGAAGAGAGCCCTTAATTTCTGGGTACAAACAAGTATTTAGGAAACCCCACCAGGATGTTACTAGCTTCAAAGTAGAATGATGGTCAAGGATGAGTATCAGGAGGAGAAAACAGGTTGATGAAAAATGGAAGCTATAGAAGAAGAAGAAGAAACACTTTAAATAGTAGGTCCAGGAATCAGTAGAGAGAATGATATAGCTGATGCTTACATAATAACAATTGTCAAGATTCCCACTTGAGCTTGTTAGGTTTCTTGAAACATCCTTTCCCTCCTCTGTATGCCACTTGGAACCGCTACTATGGGGTCCACCAGAACCAGAACTGGGACACTTCATAAGTGTCAGGTCACTGAGGCGGTCAGTCGGATCAATAGAGTCATTTATGATACTTCCATTCTCAGATAGATCTTCAAAGTCTCCATGTCCATTACGATGTTTCTCAATTTCCAGTCTTAGAACCCCTTTAACAGGTTTATGAACCTTCCGTTTAGGGTCCTGTAAAAGCCAAAGAACAAATTATCAGACAATAGTACATTAAGAAATGCTGTATGTCTAAATGTTTAAGACGGTTTATAGGGATTTTAGATTTGTTTCTCCTCCAAATGAAAGCAGCAGTATGCAGTCTGATGTTATATCCATATAAAGCATGCCAGTTATATCCACAATTCGGCTCTGAAACTTTTTATGCGAAGAGAAAGCTCAGAAATCTCGTTTTCCTGTGATGTTTGAGTAAATATACTCGTCACTAGCTAGACTTCAGAAAGAAGAAACGAAATGAGGGACTTCACTTCCTCAAAACTCATAAATTAAAGCACCATGACGTGACTGTGAAATACTAGTGAATTGATTTATTCCTATAGAAAAAAAAATAGATCTATTAAAACAGAAAAGGCTGCAATAAATCAATTGCTTTACAACTCTAACTGCTTACCTATATGTCCAGTTCAGGAAAGACCAACCAAAGTGTACCTAGCAAGTATCAGACATACTAGGATAATCAAACTGAACGAACATGAAAACTATTTTACACCATATCTAGTTCAAAGCAGTGTCAATACAATCATAAAGAACATGATGAAACTGTGACTGAATTGTGTTGGCTGTGAAAGTGCACCCTACCTGAATTGACTCCTCCGAGTAGCTCTCCTTGACTTTGTTTAAATTAGATATTTCAACTACGACAGAACTTCCACCTGAATAACCTTGCTTTTCGTCTGACGTGATCTTTGCAATGGGTTCAAAAACACCATCATGGGAACTTGACGCAGTCATACTGGGGGCAAGAGGACTGCTAGGGGACGCAGATTCAGCAGCATTTGTGGTGATATTATTATCAAAAAGTGGAACAACTGCCCAGGCAAAAGATTCACGGTAAGGCATAATGCGGGACCAGACCTGCAACTTTTGCTTTTCCCTCTCAGTTAAGTGCACCTGATTCGCAAATGGCCAGAGAACTGATTTACTACGAGCAGGATACTTACTAAATGTGAAATAAAGATCCAGCTACACCAAGACTAGTCCACATTGTATAGTCAAAACACACATTAAGACAGCTGATATGTGCCACTGTAAGTCACAGACTATCTTAAACTCACTCCAAAGAAAAGTTGAGAGCCAAAGTTTCTAAGACCGAGGCATTCACATGAGCAAGAGACACTAGAGATAGTAAGGGGAAGTCCAGGATAAAGGCAATTACAGGTTCTTTACGGGAATAGACAGATGATGTAACGCCTCCCTCCTCAGTTGCTGTTTTTTCTAACTGAATCAGCAGGCAAACGGATGCTGATGGGGCATCTAGATAAAACACTCCACGATTTTCAGATGAAAGTTTAGCCTGCAGGAAGATGAACAAGGGCAGCAATTTTGCAAAAAAAAAGAGTGAGAAAAAAAAGGAGACTCAAATCAACCTTATATAACCATGAGAAGGATAAGACGAAAAAGGGGCAATTCAGTGACTTACATCTTGCATTTCCGTTGGCAATATATGGAAGTAAAAATCCTCAGAGAGCTTCTCCCTCCTCTCTTGATTGTACAATGAAATCGAGCCAAAAAATGGTTCTGCAGGGTTACAAGAGATTAAAATTTATAAAACTACCCAGGAAATAGACAACATTCCCCCAACAATTAGTCAAGAGTCCTCACCAACTAAACCAGACTGAAAAGCTAGAGACAAAACTCTGACAGAGATCTTCATTCCACTGTGAAGTATATGAGAAGAATAAATCAGAGAGAGAAAGATAATAAGACAGTATCAGGTAAAACAAAGTGACATGCAAAAAAAAACCTGGAATAGCTTGCTGCAGGAGTTTCAGGAGTTCTCTGGCCAAATATCATAGATCTTTCATTTTCCCAATCAAAAGCTGGTTCATAAGCAGGGAGCGGAGGTTGCCCAAAGTGCTGCAAACAAACAAAAAGCATGGCATTGAATTGAAAGTAAGAACAAAGTGAAAGAAAGGTTAAGCAGGGAAAATGAAAAACCTTGGAGGATCCAGAATCAGAAAACGGCCTCCCGGAAATGCTGGCAACATCGTCTTCCAATTGAGCACTCCTAGCACTAGCAAGACGGATTTCTGGAAAAATCAATAGTAATGAATGAGTGTTTGATTCTCAGCACAAACAACAACAAAATTAGAAAAAAATGCAAAAACAAGACATGCATCAATACCAGTCTCAGTATCAGTATCAGGTCCTTCGAAAATCTGAGTGTGGAAAGTATCAGGACGAGTATGCTCATAGTGTCCATATTTGTTAACATCCTTGACCCATTCCGTTCCGTAGCATTGAACCAATTGATTCATATGCGGCCACTGTTCCAGATTTTCGTCAAGCTATTGACGGAAAGAGAACACACAATCAAAAGCGAGAGAGAAGAGAAACGGAATTGAAAGCTCGTGACAGCAAAAAAAAAGAGTGGACATCCATACCAGAGGATCGAGCTTAGGGAGAGCAACAGGCTGGCGAGGAATCCTGCGAAAGCGAAGGCCAAGGTTGTTGTTGTTCTCCATTTCTGGTTTCGAATTCGGAGAAGAAACAGATCTATACAATGTCCGTCACAGCATCTGAGCTCTTACTCTAAGAAGAAATTGGGGATTGCTTGTTAGCTCTGAGAGAAAAACCTAGAAACGGAAAAGCGCAGAGCACACTTGGTGTAGATCTGCGGGTGGGAGAGAGGGATGAGTGGATGAATCTTTGTCTTTACGCAGAGGGAAAGAGATCCGTGAAAGAGAGAGAGAGAGAGAAGAAGCAGTTGGAGAAAAGTTAGAGATTATTCTAATCATATTCTCAGAGAGAGAGAGAGAGCTGGAGCCATAGTCCAACCACAGTCCAACTCTACAGTCCCTTTCTTGTTGTTTTTTATTTGTTTTGGGTCAATTCGTACGACCAAGACAAAAAAAACTCAGCTGCAGAATTGGAGTAGACGAATTATTCCGACTTGCTAAAATAATTGAGATTCCTATGGATAATTTTTTTTATTTTTAGTTGGAATGTAGATTCTTATTTTTTATTTTTGGAGAGATTTCTTTCAGATTTTAGCTTGGTTTTGATATGAGGCAAAATTACTTTCTTTTTTATGTGGCGGCGATGGAGAGTATGATTAGCCACAAGTTATCATCAAAGAGTTGTTTTTGCTTTGGAGGCTGCGGTTTTGGTGGGAGCTGTGAACAGAAAAGCATGGCCTTCCTTCAATTTTCAGTCGCTGAGCTTCTGATTTTACTCTTTTCGGTGATGGAATGGAAACGTGGTTTTGGAAAGAGTTGGATCAAATAGAGGAGCTAATCTCATTGGGCAAAGTGTTACTAAGTATTGTAGGTTGCAAACTTGCAATAGTAAGTGGATGGAGTATTTGCTAGTGAGAGATTCATTTAAGCAAAAAAAAAACTCCATATTCCACAATACCAAAACAGCTATGAACTATCTTCCCTTTCCAAAAAAAGAAAGAGTTTTGATGAGTTGCAACATCACAATGCTATCTCAAGAAATTATAATTATTGTATACTGCAAATGAATTTACTTGTCAGACTTTGTTTCAAGTAGGCCTAGTTCAACGAATTGACGTTTTGATTCTCTGAAATAAACTTATCTCTAGGCAACGTGCTTCGACCAGATTCAGGTAAACCAAGTGCATACCGGATTAAACCGAGATTCACTCACATCAATGATGAAAAGTCGAATATTTTCTTGGCAGAGCCAGAGTTTGTTTTGTTTTGTGAATTTTTTTTAAAGGTTAGCAATTTCGCAAATCGTTTTGAAACCACCGGACAAGTTTTCAGATACAGTTAGATTGAAATAATCAATTTTAAACATGAAATAAAAAAGTATACAAAAATCCCATATGCCAAGTAAAAAAAAAAAAAGTCAACTTGCACCAATCAAAATCCAAAATCACATCCCTCAGCATCCAGATGGGTTGTCTGGCACTATAGTGTGAAACACAAAATTCGGAAACGTCTTCGTTATGTCTCTGCACAAACACAAATACAAACAAAAACACACAAAAACTTGTTAGTCCCGCCCAAAGAAGAAGATAGCAAAACGATGAAGATAGAGAGACATGTCTTTACTTGAGATGTTGAAGGGTCATGTTCTGTAACAGAGAAGGATGGCGAAAAACAAGACTCTGCCACTCTTCCTTATCAATCTTCCCGTCCAGTTTACTATCAGCTTCTTCAAACGTCTACACCAAATATATATATAACTCATGTCAAAGAATAAAGATGAGGAAGCCTAGTCAATGCCAATAGAGATCAACCAAAACCCACCTTGTCTATGATGCTCTCTATCACATTATCAGAAAGGTTCATGCCAGATTCAGCTAGAGTCGCCACCACCATTTCCTTCAACTTTTACATCAACAGAGGATAAGAGAAACGAAAAAAACACAGACACATAATGCCAAGTGTATATATATATATATATATATATATACCTCTTGCCTCTCTATATACCCTTGCTGTTTCAGATCATACAGCTTGAAAGAAACTACAGAGGCAGAGAAAAAATCATATCCAAAGAAGGTGATAATGTTGGATATTAAAGAAAAAGACACAAATCTCTACCACTTACACTCGATCTTATCCTCAATTTGAGCCTTGGGGTGAAAAACCGAGATAGCACGAGCAAAGGTTTCAAAATCAAGAATCCCAGTACGCTTGGTATCAAACAAGTCAAACACCTGCAAAAGCTTGAACATGATGAGTTCACAACAAGGAAACTCAAGATCGCCTTATCAGAACTCACAAGTGTCTTAACCTTATCAGCAAAAAGACTTCTCTTTTTGTTCGTCTTGAAAAGCACCAACTGAAATTGTTCCTGCAAAAAAAATGGAAAGGTTCCTGGTGAAAAAAAGGAGCACGGAGATAGATAGTACTAGTGATGATGATAATGACGATGGATTGTGGCATGAGACCTGGTCAATAAGCCCGTCTCTGCTGATGCTCATGAACATTTCGTAAAGAGCTTCAATCTCATTCACAGTAACTGCAATTTGTGATTGACTTAAGTTGTGATAACCAAATTCAAAAGCAGTAAAGTTAGGAAAAGTAGAGACATACACACAGTGCCTCTAGCCACATCCTTAGGGTTCAGAAGTGTCTTGCTGTGCGGTGGAAGATCAGCATCACAACAAGTCAACAGAATTGTCGACAAGTGCTTTAACCAATCTAAACACTTCATCATCATCTCTACGAAAAATCACTACTTCCATGCCTAGCACAAACACATAAAAAAAAGATGGTTAATTCCACTGAAAGTCCCCCTCTAAAGTTTTGTTGATTGGTGAATAAAAATTCAAGAACCGAACACAAATTTGCTGATCCGATGCAGACTCAAATGAATAACATATCGCCGGTAAGACGAGCGAGGAAGGAGTAGTTTTGACTTTTGAGAGAAGAGGAAAGAAGATGATCCTAGTGAAATTTACTCGCTTTTTTTGTATTGGTTTCTCTCTTGTTAGCGTGTAAAGAAGCTTCAGATTACGACTGGTTCCATCCAAGAAGGGTTTTTCAAATTCACCACGATGTAGAGCTGTAGTTGGCTGCTGAGAGTTGAGAAAGGATCAACAAGTTCGTTGGCGTAAATTAGTCGTCTCTTTAGTTAGTTGGTGACCACTTGGACAAGTTGACATTTCCAAAGAGAGAGAGAGAGAGAATTACTAAATGCAATTCATCAAGACTAATAAAAGATACCATATAATCTCTCTGGCACAGGTCTGGGTTCCTGGATCTCTGGCAGCAACGTTTCTCAGAGCTTAGTTGAGAGATGGCTGCTCAAGTGCTTTCCGATTTGGTCATTGGCTCCTTTTCGCTGGTTAATCAGGTCCTCGCCTTACCGAAATCCCTTTATCATCAGCTTGCTATCCATTCTCTGCAACGTATCTCGATTTCCCGAATCGAAACATCTGTACCAAAATTGTCGATACAGCCACACAATCTGGCATTGTCTTGTTCATCGATTCATCGGTAACTTCCATGGTCTCGAACCTCACAGCTATGACATCGTATATATAATGACGCACCTAGATTCCACTCTTACTTCGTCTCCTACATGAGACTGCGATGTAGGCCGAGCGGAATTGGAGAAATTACAGAGGGAAATCTCGATCGGGATAGAGATTTCACCATCTGTCCACAATCACCTCTCTCTGCTCTCATCCAATTTCATTATCATCAAGCTTCAGAGCTTTCGCCTGCGATGATTCTTCTTCGCTGCCACAATTCGATTTCAAACTCATTTTCTCAAGGCCATTCATGTTGCAACAGAACATCTATACAGAATTACAGGCCCAAAAGGCCCGATTTTTTTTTACCATTCAACTTTATTTATCATGTAAAACAGTAAAAGGTTCACTTCTTGCACAGTACCAAATACAAGTAACAAGAATACAAGTTTGCTCCATACCGAGCGGTGCATGCAACCATTCAGAAATCATCAGAGTCCCCATTTCCACTCTCCATATCTGAAACACACGTATTAGATACGCTTAACTACTCTATGATGTTTTAGTCATTATTCGTTTACACTTTCCATCATCAGTAGTCAGGCCTAGGCCTCGGCATAAAAACCGACCGGAAGAACCCGACCCAGAAACGATCCGAAAAAACCGGTTCTGGTTACTATCCATTTAGGACTAAATCACATGTTGGTTATTTTTTTTCTATAACCATGGTTTTTGGGTCGGTTCCGTTTATTATCCGTTTATCCGTGGATACCCATTTAGACCCGACTTTTTTTCTTTGTTTCTTGACTTTGAAACTTATGTTTTGTTTTTTCTTTTGTTTTTGTCTCTTTGCTGTTTTAAACCTTGAGTGTTTGAATATTTGAAAGTTCAAAATTCATACTTGTATTGTCCGATTCTGTCTTATTAAAATATGATGAAGTTAATTTGGATTTTTATGGTTCAAAAGTGAGAAATTCGGATAAAATCATGTTAAAACGGGTACAAATAGGTACAAATGGATACAAACGGGTAAAAAAAACCCGAAAATACCCAAATCCGACTGATATCCAAAATTTTCGGGTATTTTACAGTTATTTACAAGCGAAAACCGTTAGACCCGGAACCCGAGAAGAACCGACCCGAAATTATAGCGGTTCCTATTTGGATAAATAATTTAAATAACGGTTAGACCCCGAACCGAAAGAACCGATCCGAAAGCGATCCGAGTACCCATTATTCCCAAGCCTAGACCCAAGAAGGAATAAAACCTTAGAAATCTAATGAAGTGATCGAGAAAATTTATTATTCTTGATTCAAAATAACATATTTATTGTTCTTTGAAAAAAAAACAAGAACTTTAAAAATCTATGATCGAGAAAATTTAAATCACTTAAAATTAACAATATCGACAAAATCAATAATTATCAGTCTCATTATAGAAAAAAAAAATCACATATGTTAGAACAAAACTTGTTCCATGAAGACAATAATATCTTACAAACAAAAGTCCTCATCTGTTACCGTTATAGCCCAATTAGTCTATAGGTAACCCAAAAATTAATGATCATATATTTATTTTATATCATACTAAATAATCAAATAATACTAATTCTTCAATATATACAACAAACATACTATTATTTACGTAATTATCATATTAATATTTAAAAAAAAAATATTAAAATTTATAACATCCGTGCTTCTCAAGCATGGGTCAAGATCTACTATTCGAATAAAATCTGTTACTCTCTCTGTTGTTAACCTAACATAAATGTATATCAAGCCAAGGTGCCAAAGAAATTCAATTGGTGGGCAAATAAATAAATGGAATAAGATGTTGACCACAAAACACAAAGCCTTACTCGTTCAAAGTTTACACACAGTGTTAGTGTGCTCCTATTTGGTCCAAGTGTGTGTAAGCGGGAGTGTGAGATGGGGGTTGTAATTGTAACCAAATTAAAATTACAGGGTGAGAAATGCAATAAAGAAAATTAAGCGACGAAAGTAAAGAGAGATTGGGATAGAGAAAGAGTAAGTGGGGGAAGATGGAGAGTGTATGGAACAATTGATGAGAGACAAAACAACATCAAAAAATAAAAATACAAAAGGGGTTGTTCGATCGATTTGATATTTGTGTGGAGTGTTGAGTTGAATCAGAAGATGTGTCCTTTTTCTCTTTCCTAATCTCAGGGGAACTTTTTATATTTTCCCCTAAATTTCTCCGTCCCTACTCTTTTGATCAATTGCTACCAAAAAAAGCACGAATCTTTAAAAACAGAGCCTGTCCTTTGTAATCAAGTGTTTGTATCACTCATGAATTCGTGGTGAGAGAGATCCGGTGAGATAATAAGAGGAAGAAGAAGATTACTTTTTTTTTTTTCATTTTGTGTGTGTTTGTGTGTGTGGGTATGGGTAACGTGAACGCGAGAGAAGACGCGAATAGTAACAACGCATCTGCGGTTGAAGACGACGACGCTCGTGAAGCCATGTCCGCCGCTTCCGACGGTAACCACCACGCCGCACCACCTGAGCTCATGGGTCAATCCCCTCCTCACAGCCCTCGCGCCACCCAATCCCCTCTCATGTTCGCTCCTCAGGTTTTGTTTTTTTCTCCCTCAATTTTTCCAGATTCACTTTCCTTTTCGCTATCTCAATCTCCAAATCAGAAATCGGAGAGATCTGAAAAAAGCTAAAGTTTGCGTCTTTCTGCAAAAAAGGTTCCGGAGCTTCCACTTCAAAGACCAGATGAAATCCACATCCCAAACCCATCGTGGATGCAAACTCCATCTTCATTGTACGAAGAAGCTTGCAACGAGCAAGGCATCCCAACGATGATCACTTGGTGCCACGGAGGCAAAGAAATCGCCGTTGAGGGATCATGGGACAATTGGAAAACAAGGTGAAATGTTGCTTTTTAAAAAATCAATACTTTCCTTAAATTCATTTCAAAAATTCTCTCATTGTTGTTTTGGGATTTGATCAGAAGCCGTCTGCAGAGATCTGGTAAAGACTTCACGATAATGAAAGTGCTTCCTTCAGGCGTCTATGAGTACAGGTTCATTGTCGATGGACAGTGGAGGCATGCCCCTGAGCTTCCCATGGCTCGAGATGATGCTGGAAACACTTTCAACATCTTGGACCTCCAGGTAACCTAAACCGGTTAACTAGGTGGTTGTTGTAGGTTGAGAACATTCAGAGATTATATGCTTTGGTGTGTGCACTGTGCAGGACTATGTGCCTGAAGACATTCAGAGCATATCTGGATTTGAGCCACCGCAATCACCAGAGGCTAGTTACAGCAACTTGCTTCTTGGACCTGATGACTACTCCAAAGAACCGCCTGTGGTTCCACCGCACTTGCAGATGACGCTGCTGAACTTGCCTCCAGCGAACCCGGACATTCCATCTCCGTTGCCGAGGCCTCAGCATGTCATTCTCAACCATCTTTACATGCAGAAGGGCAAAAGCGGTCCCTCTGTGGTTGCCCTTGGTTCCACTCACCGGTTTCTTGCAAAGTATGTGACTGTTGTGCTCTACAAGTCCCTGCAGAGGTGAGGAAGATGATGATGATGTCAGTTCCATGTGGAAACTTCATGGACAAACATGCAAGAAAAATGAGTGAGGCTTATAGGAAGGAGATTATATGCGAAAGAAGAGTTGATTTCCAGGCAAAAGTATTCCCTCGATACGCGCGAATTTTTGTTTTCTGTCTTTTCAAAAAAGTTGTCAATAAGGTTTTACCAACAGAAAGAAGATGCAGTTTTTCAGTAAGTGTCAAGTGTAATCTTTTGATTCCAAGACTTGATCATCTGTTTTCTTTTTTAGCATCATTTTTAGAAAGAAAGAAGAATGCAGGAAACGAACCACTTCACTTGTAAGTGTTTTGGTGTTTTGATTTGGGGCTTTCAAGTTTTTCAACAACAGTTTGTTCTCACCTGCCAGTCTTTAATTATTGCTTGGCTTTCAAATCTAGCAAAGTCATGTGTGATAATGACAGATGATCATATACTTGTGCAACTTGTGTAACAAAAAGCATCTGCAGATCACTCATCTCTCGGTGAAAAAAAGCAAAAGATGACAGATGTTAGAGAGTTAACACTTTCATTATCTCAATTCTTAAATCTAAAAGTAGAGAGTTTATTGCATTCTGATGGGCCACTATCTAGCAGTAGAGAAGGCTGTACAGAAAGAAACAACAATAGCAAGTGCAAAAACATTGTCTGTTTATGTGTTTGAATCTAACAATGAGAAGTTTCTTTGAATCTTAGAAAACAGGACAGCCTTTAACTCTGATTCCAGGAGCGGTGGGACACGTAGCAAGAGGGCAATGGTCGACTTCAGTACCCCACCATTTGAGCTCGTGTCCAGCATTCTGCAGAGCGAAGAACAAGAGCACTCCCATGAAAGCAGTACCTGCATCGAGCGCTGCAGAGAGGACGTAGTTGTACTTCTGCCACCATCTCTTGTGGTAATTGAACACAAAGTAGTTGAAGATGGTTCCTGTGACCAGCCAGCTAGCGATGTTGGTCGGAGTAGCCGGAGGCATCCCTGCAAATCCGTAGGAGATAACCGGAATGTTGATGAGAGGGATCCACTTCTTGTTTGGGAAGATCTTGCTCATCACCCACACAGGAACAGGCAAGACAGCTCCAATGAGGAAGAGCCAGACAAGGTTACGGTATAAGCCTCCTGCTCCAAACAGACGTTTTGGTCCTATCAACCCCCAAATAACCGAAGCGTCAAACGTCACTCTGTACTTGGGGCAAGTCCAGGGGCTGTTGGGATGCACTCCTTCGATGTCGCATATCTCTTGAATGCTCTCAAGCATCCACCACGCCACTCCCAGATTCACCACACCAGCCACCACAGTGCCAACAAGCTGAGCAGTGTACATGCAGCGAGGTGGGATCTTCATGTAATGGCCAAGCTTTAGGTCTGCCAAGAAGGAGAGAGCGTGGACCGTGCTGATTCTCCCGTAGATCTTGAAAATCAGGTTCGCAATTGGCTTTCCAGGCAGGATATAACCGATTATGAACTGCCCTATGATATCATACCCTGGTTGCTGCAACAGTACACAAGAAGATATGAGCATAAAGGCTTTATTTATCTTATGGTTGCATAGATACGATGTTTAGTTTAGTAAATTAACCTGATTTGTAGTTGCTTGAATGACACCGATAGGGAGAGTGACAATAAAGGCCAATGCAAAAGCGAAGAGCATTCCCCACCATGGAAGCTGCACTGACTCCTTCCACACAAAGGACATGAGGAGAGACATGGCTACACTTCCTGCCAGCAATATGTAAAACCACCACTCAGGCACTTGTTTGTATCTTTCCATCAGTTTCCCATGGACGTCAAGCTTCACAGTCTTCACTGCAGACCAAGTCTGTCTCCATATGTCCCTGCGCAACACACACACACCAAAAGTGAATTTTCATTCTCCTAACTAGTCAACAAAACTGAGAATGACAAACTAACTAACCTGCCATTGAACAGTGCTACATGAGTCAGCGTTGCAGTGAATCTAGCGAAACCAGATCCGATGGAGAGTGCGAAGAGAGGACTGAGGTAAAGCTTCCCGTAATTGTTATAGGCATTGATATCAAGATCGAACCGCGGAGTCAAGATCTTGGTCGTGTCGTACTTCTGGCCAGTGGAGGTAAAGAGCTGGTTGGAGAAGATTGGGAACTTCCTGGCGTCGAAAGTGTCGAACTTCCAGTAACAGACAGGGACGATGATGTAAATGAACATGAGGAAACCAACACCAACGTTGAGGATAGAGGACCAAGGGGCCACCAAGGGAGATCCATGGTAAGCAGAGATACCAGCCCAGTCAAGCGTGAAGGCTCCAACGCCAAGACCATGGTACCCTGAGCCAACCTGCTGAGCCGTGATGCTGTTAGGCCAAGCCCAACACACCCATGAGAAGAAAGTCAAGATTGGGAATAGATAGCCTGGAAGCGCGTAGTAGAGGAAGCTAGCGCCGAGAGCTAGTAGAAAAAACTGCATCCTCGTCAAGCCTTTTGATTTGTCTTCCTTCTCGTGCAACGCTCTGCAAAACAAGGAGACAAAAAAAAACCATTAGAATTGGGCTCGTTGATGAACAAAAAGGAATCAGCTTTTCGCATTGTGTTTGGATTTAAAAACCTAAAGAGAGAAACTTGAGCGAGATTCGAAGGCCACCACATGTCGACTGGATCAACAAGGTACCTCCTCAGAATCCCAGCCCAGCCGTAACCCAGAATCTGCAACATTTACTCGTCAATTAGCAAACTTTTTAACGAAATGTGAAATCGGAAGAGAGAGAGAGAGAGAGGAAGAGAGAGGGACCTGAGTGGTCAAGACGATGAAGAGACCGCAGATGAAGGTAAGGCTCTGTTTATAGTAAGCTTTCATGACGGTGATGGCTCCGATGGAGTAAGCGTCACCACCACCGTAAGCGACGCCGCAATTGGCGAAGATGGTGATAATGACGTGCTCCTTGATGTTGAAAGGGCCTGGATTGAAGCTAAATTCTTTTCCCATGAGCTTGTGCGAAGTTGTGGGGAGAGTCCGAGCCATGAACTTTCCGATGGGCAAGACGGCGATTTGCATGAGGATGGCGGAGATGGTGAGCGGCTGCGTGCGGTATGTGAAGAAAGTGTTGAGGAAGATGAGGAGGACGCATGAGGTCAGACCCAAGAACCATGCCCTGAATGTCATCACCGGCAGAGTTGGGTCGTCGGTCTCAGGGACCACGAGAGCTACTTCTTCCACCGGACAACGCTCGTGCTGCTCGGTGGAAGAGGAAGAGAGATGCCCATTTTTATTAGCCTTCTCTGCGTCCATTTCTCTTTCTTTTGCTTCTTCTTCTTCTTCTTCCTCTCTGAGGTACATGACAAAGTTGTGTCCTCTTGTTTATATAACCAGAGGACAGAGACAAGAGAAACGACGACTGTCAAAAAAAGGGAAATGAGTGATGCTTAATTACGGTTTTACCCTCTTCTTCAAGGCTTCACGCATACCCCCATGTGAAATCTTTGTCAATTAATAATTAATTAGTTCGAGATTTATATTTTTATCTCTTTGCAGATTTTAATATTATTATTTGAGTGGAAAATAAATATAGTTAGAATTTAAATTTTAATAAATCTCTTACTATCGTATTTTTTAACTTGTTAGTTAATAAAAGTATTTGTCAGATTTTCATACAAATAGATAAATCTTTGACTGATTTTAAATCTGCCTGAATTAGGAGTGGAGTGTATATGGTAAAAAGCAAAAAAAAATACTAAATTTAGGACAATGCATTTACCCAAAGACCCACATTGGGAGGTTGTCAATGGCTGCTTACCATATTTTTCCAAGCGTGTGAGTCGCACGTGCTGTAAGAGGTCTGACACACTCATTTCACTGTCTAGTCCAAATCTTGCCTCATGCGGGCCCCGTTTTTTCTCAATTTGACTGTGACGCTACGTTCGACGTTTCCGACGCCGTGAGAAACCACTCTTGAGAAATATGCAGCGGCCGTTAGTTTTCTGACGGACGTCGTGCCGCATGGGCGTGTGGTTCGTGTGAAGCTCGTGGTGTGCGCTGAACTGGATCTACGTGGCCGTCATGCTAACGTGGGACTGACAGAGTGGCAGTATGACACGTGGATTAGTGGATGTAGTCATTTGAATATACTTTTTTCTTTAACCTTTTTTGTACTTTCTATTGGTTGACCGTGATGACTGAAGAAGAGTCAATGAAACAGTGAAATTTAATTAAGAAACGACGGCAAGTAATATTATTGTATTTAAAAAGTTAAAATATTAAAGGGTTACACTGACAACTATTCACTCTCTATTCTTTGAAAGTGGACTAAAGATGAATAAAAAACTAATTTTAAAAAACTTTACTATGAAAATATAGGCAAAAGAGAACTAATTTATACTCCAGTATTTAAAAACGTGATAATATATGGATTAGACGTATGAAGGTTCGATAGTTTTGGTTAGAAAACGTCATGAACTGTCTAGCAAAACATTGGTACCAAACATATATGAACAAGACTAACATGCATCACAATCCCTCTGTCATGGTTTAAAATAAATGCTAAAATACAATTAACAACATTTATTTTCTTAGCTCATTTGGTGAGACAATGTGAGGGTCTAGCGAAGACCTAAAAAATGTGCTCTTTAACAAAAGGAATTTTTCTTGTCTTTTTTTTTCTCTGTTTCAAGGAATATGTATTGGGAGTAAGAGATGATGGTAAGAGAGAACGTTGTAGAGACCACCACAGCAACTTGATAAATAAGATTCTTGAGTAGTTTTGAAGCAATGTGAAATTAGATTTGAGAGAGAGAGTGACACATCACACAATCCCCACTATATTCTCTCTTTTTCTCCCAAACAGAAAACGACACTTCCTTGTTGTTAACTTACCTTTATTCCATAAAACCCTAAAAAAATATCTCGCCTTTTAGATCTCTTCGTCTTTCTCTTCCCTTTTCCTAATTATTCCACAGAATCAAAACTACATATACATTGCATAGTGCACGAAGCCACGAACCGTAAATCATTGAGTAATTAATTATCCACCACAAATGTATAGAGCAATCATTTCATTTAGACCGTTTAGGCGTTTATACCTTTTTCTCGTAAAAGGCAGAAAGCGAGCGAGACATTACAAGCATGCATGCGGGCCTGGTTTGATTCTGCATCAACCAAAACGAATTCCTTCTTTTCTTTTCACATTTTCATTTTCTCAAGTGCTTGTCGTTCTCGTACCAACTTTATATATACAACCAACCAAAAGTGTGATAGTCTAATGGTTAGTGCAAGGGGTTTTGTGCCTTGGTCCTTTGGAAGATTTTATTAAGTTGCTTATATTTTGGGACAGAGCGAGTAACAATGTGTCTTTTGCCAAATATCGGTGGGATTTCGATCTTAAACTTTTAATATTTAAAAAAAATATATCTCATCTAAATCTACCGTTAATTTTCTTTTTACTGTCTCACTAAATAGTTATTAGTGATTTAACGCTAGGAATCAAATTCATAGTTTATGATCTCACTAGATGATTATTTGTGATAAGTAACGAACCAAATCCTTTATGTGTGAATGGATAGAGATAGGATAGAGGGATCGTATATGTCTCAGACTCAGAGCCACACAAAGTAGTAGGGATATATACATCTTGACGATCACATCAAAAAGGACAGAATCCTATCAAACAAAAGTCTTCGTGACTTTTGAGTTGCGATTAGGACCCACCAGATTTCCAATCTCATTGTTAATTATCTCTTGGGGAGTTGATTTTTCAGAAGAGACGACACTTTTGTTTTTGTACCTTCCAGTGTGTCTTTTTCAATATTAAATTATTCTTGTCAATCCATTTCACGCAAATTCACACCATGACACATACCATTATCTAGATATCTATGTCGCAAATAATTGATACTATTATACAGTGCGTTACAGTCGAAAACGTCTACTAACTAAACAGCTAAAAACAGCAGCGCAGAATTGTAGGTAGTCACGAGTACAATTAAAGAAGCAGCTAGATATAGGAATTTCAAAGTTTGGCATAAGAGACCAAGCGTTGGGGTACTATGAGAGCATAGTCGGTTTGGTACTTGAAAAAGCCACTTTATGATATGCAAAATGATCATCTTTTGAAAAACAGAACAAAAAACTGTTAGAAAATTTATCCTTTTTCATGAAATTATTTCGACTACTGAACAGAACCGACAGGTGCTACTACTGATCTATATTGGTGATTTGGTGTGATGATTAGATTAGGCTCCTACTACTGATCTTGATCTATATTGGTGTGATGTGTCAATATTGACCAAACCAAACGGAAACTAAACCAGAGCCTATTGTGCAAGCCGTTTGGTTAACTTTTGATACAGTCCAATTGGATCCGTTTCTATTTTCGTCCCGCTAACAACCTGGCCCGTTTAAGTTCTACTGTGATATTTTTCTGGCCCGTTTGTGCCCTCGTCAACACTTGCACAGATTAAAAAAAAATGGCAATCGAATTACCACATCTACTGTACTTCGTCGTCTTTTTGTAAATTTTACTCTTTCAACTCTGATTGGATTTACTTTTTTTTTTGCATCAAAATGTTTTAGGATGAAAGAGTTAAAGGAAACATTAATCATATGAGTCTCACATTAAAAGTTATCAAGGAACTACAATATTTTTTTTAAGAAACATGACAACTCAAGAACGTTGACATGATTGTAACATAAAAAGCAAGAAAGTGGGTAAAGATAGGGTAGATGGTAAAATTGTAAATGCTAGTACATGTCTAGACTCTAGAGTGTTATAAAGTGTATCGTTTTGTAGAAACTGATGCAATATTGGGATTCCTAGTTGAAACAAACTCCTAGAAACTGAAAAACAAGTTGAGTTTTGTTTATTTAGACAAACTGTGTCTGAAAAAGAACGTGAGATAGCCCATTGGACGTAAGAGAGAAGAAGATGGACGTTTCTTATCTGAAGTTGAGAGTCCAATAAGGTAAGAGTTATGTTTTCTTTTACGTCCCTACCATATAATTCGAAATTCATATACAAACATTAATCACAATTCTCAAGTCTTTTTCCGGTTTAGCTTTTATAAATAAAAAGGCCCATTTGTTTGTCTTTTACACTACCAACTAATTCCACATGTGACGAATCTTCCAGCTCTTTCTTTTGTTGTTTTCTGACTTTCTATCTATCTTTCTATCTTCTTCTTCTTCTTCTTCCAATCTTACGTATGAAAGAATTGATGATGATGAATCTGATTGTTCATTTTGTTTGTTACTAGATTATATTAAACGCTACACATACAAATTTATGTCTCTCTCCTTATGATTATAGATGATTACAAAGCATGTGATGTAGAAGTTGGAGTGGTTAAATTAATGGAGTTGGAGAAACAAATTACAAAGATTCTCTACCATTTTTTTAAAGCAAATCTTTTTATACTTGCAAAAGAAAAAGGAGACAAAGAGTTGCGTTGAAGGGAAAATAATTGAATGGCCGACTCATTTCCCATTTCCTTCATCCCCTATTTGTTTAACCTTTTAGCTTTTCATGTTGAATGTGTAAAGCTAAAAAAGAAAGATCGACTTTACATGAGCAGTAAATACGATTTGGGGAAAAGAAACAAAAAAAGGAGTAGAAGAAGAAAAATTGGTTAAGGCAATTAATGGCAACTATGAAAGTTAGAGATGTGAAAAGGGTTTTTTCGCCGATTCATTATTGTACCTTCCTCAGCATTTCTTTCTTTTTTTCTTTATATAAAAAAACTAAAAAAAGTCGGAAAAAAATACAGATATATAAGAGCAAAAAGAGAGTGACAAAATTTGATTAATCAAAATGGATGCCAACTGCGAACACGTGTCTCAACTCCATTGGTGTAGTCAGGTTGGAGTCAGTGTTATAAAAAGCTACACTTCTCACCACCACCCAAACTCTCTCTCTCTCTTGAAGTAGACTCTAAGCCAAACCACCGTCAGATTTCAGATCTCAGATCTTAGCTCTCCATTTCCAAGCCATGGCCGAGAAGGGCAAGGAAAAGGTTTTTGCTTCTCTTCTCTCTTCTTGTTTTGTTTTTCTTTCAGCAGACAGAAAAGTTGTGATTTTTAATATATGTGGGTCTTTAAGTATTTACATCTTGTTGAGCTTTTGATGACCCTTTTATTCTCATTTTTCTTGTTTATTTATTATTATCATGTGGAGGGTCTTTGTATATTGTGTGGGTTGAGTTTGTTTTGTGCGGATTAAAAAAAAATGCGATCCAATAAAAAAAGTTACTTTTGTGGAAGTTATGAGAAGAAGATCAGATTCTCTCTTTTTCCATTTTGTGTCAGAAATCGAATCTGTTCTCTCTCTCTCTTTTTTTCCTCTCTCAGTAATTAGATCTTAAAAACGTCAAATCCACAGTAATGATTTTGATCATTCTTTTACCATAAGAAGCACCTGAGGATTTGAAGTGATGTGTAAATGCAAAAAACAGGTGACTATGATGAAGCTGAAGGTGGATCTTGATTGCGCCAAATGTTACAAGAAGGTCAAGAAAGTTCTTTGCAAATTCCCTCGTGAGTTTTCTTTTCATTATCTTTTCTTTTTGAGATTCTTGTGAATGATTTGATTCGAATTTTGGAGAAGGAAATGGACTGAGTTTGATAATGACTTTGTGTGATTGGGAACAAGAGAAATAAGAGACCAACTGTTCGATGAAAAATCAAACATCGTCATCATCAAGGTGGTTTGCTGCAGCCCTGAGAGGATTATGGACAAACTCTGTTCTAAAGGTGGCGGCTCTATCAAGACCATTGAGATCATTGAGCCACCAAAGCCGCCTCAGCCACAGCCACAAGCTCAGCCTCCTCCACAGAAGCCCAAAGAAGCTCCTAAAGCCCCAGAGAAGCCTAAAGAGCCCGAAAAGCCCAAACAGCCTGAAAAGCCCAAAGAACCTGAAAAGCCCAAGCAGCCTGAAAAGCCCAAAGAGCCAGAGAAGCCTAAACAACCTGCAGCTGCACCGGCTCCAGCGCCCGCTCCCGCTCCGGCGCCCAAACCCGCACCTGCACCGGCTCCGGCGCCCGCTCCAGCCCCGAAGCAGCCGGGTCCACCGCCACCACAGCCGATGCCGATGATGCCGCAAGGGCAGCCCATAGCGATGTGTTGTGGGCCTTACTACGATGGGTTTGGAGGTGGGCCAGCGTTTAATGGGTATGGAATGCCGCCGCCGCAACCGTACGAGTGCTACGGCCGGCCGGTCTACGATAGCTGGGGAGGAGGCCCACCACCTAGTTACCGACAATGCCACGTCACCAGATGTGATTACTTCAGCGAAGAAAACCCACAAAGCTGCTCCATCATGTGAAATGACTCATCCACTCTCTTTTCTCTCACTCTAAATCCTTATTTTTCTTTAATATTTCTTTTTTTTTTCTTATACAAATAATAAAAAATATATATAGAGAGATGATTACGTGTAATGTTGTGATAGGAGAACAAATAAGGAAGGAAGAATCGTTCTATTTTGTTAAATGGTAGCCATTTCCATTTGGTTGTCCATTTTTTAAGTCTGTAACTGTAAACATTAAAGAAAACTGTTTCATTTTCATAAATATAATAAACCAATAATTTTTATTAAAAAAAATCAATTATAGTATTTTTCTTTGTTTGTAATCTACTTTCTTAGCTACTCCAGATTGCCGGTGATTTTTACAAAACTTTTTTTTAAAATCACTGTGATATTCAGATGTGATAAGACTACATTTTACAGATGATTCAAGCCCATAATGGGCTTTAAACTGTCAATCTATTTGGGCCCATAGATCACAAAATCACATCAAAAGAAACAGCACGCAGTTACCTGCAACCACACTAAAACAACACACTTTCTCTCACTCCTTTCTTCTTCTTCTACAAAGCTTCATCGACATTCGACTCGCTGGTTGGATAAGGTCGAAAGGCTACAACGGTGAAGAAGTAGCAAAAATAAAAAAATGTCATTTCATCTAAGCTCCTCTCCTTCTTCTCTTCTCCATGATCCTCATCCTCTCTGCAACTTGCTCTCAGTTAATCCCAAATCCACTCCAAGGAGTTTCTTTTCTCCTTACAACCCCAATTCTCCTCCCTTCCACTCCAGAAACCTTCTCCAAATAAGCCATGTTTCCGTACAAGAGGCGATTCCGCAGGAAACCCAGAGCGAAAAATCCGCACTTGACGCGAACGTGGGCTCCAAAAGCTACGTCTGGGTGAATCCCAAGAGTCCGAGAGCTTCTCAGCTCCGTAGAAAATCGTACGATTCGAGGTACTCTTCTCTTATCAAACTAGCAGAGTCTCTGGACGCGTGTGAGGCAAACGAGGCTGATGTTTGCGACTCAATTACTGGGTTTGGTGGTAAGCTCTTTGAGCAAGATGCTGTTGTTACCCTCAACAACATGAAAAACCCAGAAACCGCGCCTCTTGTGTTAAAAATCCTCCTTGAGACGCTGAAACCGAGCCGGGAAGTGATTCTCTTCAACGTCACCATGAAGGTGTTCAGGAAATGCAAGGATCTCGAGAGTACGGAGAAGCTGTTCGACGAAATGCTTGAGAGAGGAGTGAAACCGGACAACGCAACTTTCACTACGCTAATCAGCTGTGCGAGGCAGTGTGCTTTGCCTAAGAGAGCCGTTGAGTGGTTTGAGAAAATGCCTCTCTATGGTTGTGAGCCTGATAACGTCACTTTGGCAGCTATGATCGATGCTTATGGGCGTGCTGGTAACGTTGACATGGCCCTGAGCTTGTATGATCGTGCAAGGACTGAGAAATGGCGTATTGACCCTGTTACGTTTTCGACTTTGATTAGGATTTATGGTTACTCTGGAAACTTTGATGGGTGTCTCAATATCTATGAAGAGATGAAGTCTCTTGGGGTGAAGCCAAATCTGGTTATTTACAATAGGTTGTTAGATTCTATGGGGAAAGCCAAGAGGCCTTGGCAGGCTAAGATCATCTACAAGGATCTTCTTAGCAATGGCTTTGAACCCAATTGGAATACTTATGCTGGTCTTATTAGAGCCTATGGTAGAGCCCGTTATGGAGACGATGCACTTGTTATCTACCGAGAGATGAAGGAAAAAGGTTTGGAGTTAACTGTGATGCTTTACAATACTCTCTTGTCCATGTGTGCTGATATCGGATTTGTGGATGAGGCATTTGAGATTTTCCAAGATATGAAGAGTTGTGGGACTTGTGATCCTGACAGCTGGACCTTCTCGTCGCTAATCACTGTGTACTCTTGCAGTGGGAGGGTTTCAGAGGCTGAGGCTGCTCTGCTTCAGATGAGAGAAGCTGGCTTTGAGCCTACTCTTTTTGTTCTTACGTCAGTTATCCAGTGTTATGGGAAGGCCAAGCAGGTGGATGATGTTGTGAGGACGTTCGAGCAAGTCTTGGAACTGGGAATAACTCCGGACGACAGATTCTGTGGGTGTCTTCTGAATGTAATGACACAGACACCGGTAGAAGAAATCAGTAAGCTCATTAGCTGTGTGGAGAAGGCTAAGCCGAAGCTTGGTCATGTGGTGAAGATGTTGGTCCAGGAGGAAAACTACGAGGCAGGAGTGTTCAAGAAGGAAGCATCTGAGTTGATTGATTCCATCGGCCCTGATGTAAAGAAAGCATATTTGAATTGCTTGATTGATCTCTGTGTCAATCTCAATAAGTTGGAAAGAGCTTGTGAGATCCTACAACTGGGGCTAGAGTACGACATTTACTCCGGTCTCCAATCCAAATCTGCTACACAATGGTCCTTACATCTGAAAAGTCTTTCTCTTGGGGCAGCTTTGACCGCTCTTCACGTTTGGATAAACGACTTGTCAGAGGCTGCTCTGACATCCGGAGAAGAGTTCCCTCCATTGCTTGGAATCAACACTGGACATGGGAAACACAAATACTCAGACAAAGGTTTGGCAGGTGTTTTTGAGTCTCACTTGAAAGAGCTAAATGCTCCTTTCCATGAAGCTCCGGATAAGGTTGGCTGGTTTTTGACTACCAGTGTTGCGGCAAAGGCATGGTTGGAGTCTAGACGTTCACCTGCAGAGGTTTCTGCGTAGCTTTGATATGTATGTGTGGCTTTGAGGTTTGTTCTCTATTTGGCTTGTTCTCCTGTTACTGGAAGTATCTGGATCAGGAAAGATTTTGTAATGCTAGCAAACTCGATTTATATAATTTTAAAGCAATTTAGAGAGCTGAATTGTCTCCTTCTCCTTAGTTCATGATGGTCTTCTCTTCATTATTATCATATTGACTTTCATGATGGGGCGGTGGCGATTTGACTGGTGATAATATGTTTACATTTTACATTTTGCATGGGATGTGAAGATATGTTTTTCAAGCGCTGCTACATTAGTTGACCGTAATAAAGAAAAGGAGTTAGTGGTCATATGATGGTCTGCACGTTGGTCCAATTAGCTGAATATAAAAACTGTAGTAGACGAGGAAACATCATCACATTCACATCACTACGCATAATGGGAAACTGCATTCACACATTGGTCTGCAACCATGGAAACAAAGTTAGAGATGTCTGCTTGGATGAAGCACCAACAACAGAGAAGGCCAAGGAGTTACCTGAAGAGGCAGAAGATGAGAAGAAAACAGGGCAAAGGCGGTGCATAAAGATCACTCTGACGAGGAAGCAGCTCGAGCTGCTACTGCTGAAACATCCGGAGGGTGTTTCCTTTCAGCTTCCAGAGAGTTTTGGGAGCTGCAAGCGGAAATGGAAGCCATCTTTGCAGACTATAGTAGAGGTAGATAACTTTTGATAGTCGTTTTTTGCTGAATCTTGAAGCTGAATAGCAAGAAGGGAGAGAAGTTTTATAACACAACTCAGTCTAGTAGTTGGATTCTCCCCTTTGTAAATTTTGTGACTGCTGATCTGTAAAGTTTATAACTTTACGCCTCTTTTGAATGGGTTTGTTTTTGAGAAACCTATTAATGGAGAATGTCACAGTCATCAGATGGTTAAGACTTGAGAGCTTTTGTTATAATGTAAACAAAGAAGAGAAAGTTGATGCTTTTCCATTGGATATGATGAAAAGGAAGAAACTTTGCAAAGCGATTCGATCCCTTATTCCTTCATTAATCTCTTAATTTGAAACAAAGTCTTTGTCTGGTAATCAAAACCAAGAAAAGAGACAAAACCCATTCCCCGGATAAAGGCATCTCCAATGCCTCATCATCCACCAATCCTAGAATGACGATCATGTCCCTCCACGTTCTTGAAACTGTGGGGCTATGTATGTCATTACAGATAGAGTAATCATGATTAATGGGGTTAATTAATGGTAAACTAAGGAATCTTCAACAAGCACACAGCCACTAGAAAAGGACTTGAGAACTTGCGTTGATCAACAAAGCCAAAGGACAAAGGTATCTAGTTTGACATTAAAACCATCTCAATCTCCTTCCTCATCATTTGCAATCTTTTACAGTTTTAGCTTCAACATCTCTCCTCTTCCCTCTCTCCAAATTCGATCAAAAGGAAATGGAGTATCAAGCAAGGCTAATGGAATACAAATTCCATTTCATGGCTGCAATCACTGTGACTGTGGTTATGGCCTCCCTCGTGTACGCAGCGCCAAGAATTCTCGACATATTAGCCTTTTTCTGGCCACTGTTTGCTTCAACCGCCGCTTTCTTGGCGATGGCAATCACCTTCGGTGGCTTTCAACAATTTTCAGACGAAGTTACCGGCGAGGGAATCATGGATTATGTCGCCGGACGGCCTGAGGATTCTTATAAATACTACTAGAAAGATTTCCACCAAAATTATCCATCTTTTGAAGAGCTTTACATTGTACATGATTTGCTGTATTTAAGTCCAAAACTCCAAATAAAAAATGTCCCTGCCTCGTTGATTAATTGTGTAACAAAATCAAATAAGATCAAACAAAACTATGCATAAGCAGAGTATTGATGAAACAGAAAACAGAGCACTGATGAAACAGAGCAAACTCAATATCCGTAATCATAAGCGAATTCGTTGACACCAATCATGGCGGAGACAACTTGGGAGACGATAAAGAAGCTTCCACCTAAGATGATCAGAATGAGAATGGCGGAGATTGGGTTCTTGAGGAGTTCGAAGATGGGCTCAAAGACGGCGGAGAGAGCTCCGGTGCTGACCGTGAGAGCGTAAAGACCGTACCTTCTCACGTTGTCCCAAAACTCTTCCATTAAAGGCCCTTCTGGTCCTAAAGCCATAGCCTTTTCTGCATCCATTCCCAATACCAAAGCCATCATCAAACCTATTGAGACACCACTCACCACAGCATATCTCCATTGCTTCTTCTCCAAACCCAAAGGTTGTGCCTTTTCAAGCTTGCCTCCGTTACTCTTCGCGGTTAGTCTTCTTCTTGCTGATCCGCACCGGACTAAGCATGATGTTCTGTTCCTTATGCTTGAGCTCGGAAACGCCTGAGCTGCTGCTAATGATCTGTTACTGCTCAAATGGAGGTGAGGTTGCAGACAAGATATTTTCAATCTGGGGAGAGACATCATCATCGCCATTATTTCTCACTTCCTCCTTCCTTGTAGAAGTCTGATTCTTTCTTATAGATTTGGATTGTGTGGCTCTCATTAACCTTATCTCTTTTATCATAAAAAGGGATAAGTGAATCACGTTTTTCTCTATTATATAAACTACAATGATGACAAGGTGTGTAACAATAAACACCCTTTGAAGGGAATGTCGACAAATAGCTCTCGATAGAGCTCTCACACATACATACATGATAATGATACAACATAAAGCCGTCTTAGAGCTGAGCAATACCCTTCTTCACAAGCATATCATAAACTCGGTCCACCTTGGTCGGATCCATCTTGAAAAGGCTATACGCATCCGACTTCTTCGTCACATTCCCTTTAAATATCTCATGTGACATCACCTGTTGCATTTGTAGATAAACCGGTGGAACCAACTTGACCTCGCTGCACAGACGCTTCTCCTGTAAAAAACAAACAAACAACTCTTCTCTTTCAGTAAACAACAAAGCTCATCTCAGATTTGTTCCAGGTGTTCAGTATCTCGACACTCACGGATTCAGACAGCAGTTGCGACTCCGAGAACCCAATCAGGTCCAAATCATTCACATAGCTTGAAGAAGCTTGCACAGGAGGTCTAGACCCCATTTCCCCTGCAATTTGACCGAATTGACCGCTCTCTTTCCCTCTGTTCATCCCTTCTTCGTTCTCTCTCTTCCTCTTCCTCCCCAGGTACCTCTCTGCTTCAGCTGTCGAGCGACACCCTGCCATTTGAGCTTCCTGTTCCACCCAATCGTCAAACACGGTGAGTCCACATCCAAACAACCAAACACACAGTTTGAGGGTAGCCATGTCTTTACCTTGAGATCTTTGAGCCGTTTCATCATGCGGTACTCGTTCACAACACTACGGAGTAGCTCGTCGTGCTCTTCTTTTGAATGAAAACGCATGAAAACGTCCAAACGCCGACACTGCACTTTCTCCTCCTGAGACAGATCCTTCTCAAAGGGATTAGGATACAACAGGTTTCTTTCTAGAATAAATTCCTTTCTACGTTTCCTCTCATCAAGCCTGCAAATATCAGACTCACATGCATTAGCATGGGCGGCAAAAAAGAGGAGACCTTGTTTTCTCCTAGGGATCTTAAAAGCCGTACCTTTTTGAGTAGATACGCAACACACGCAGTTTCAGCTCATGTTCTTCAGGAGTATCGTTCTCTTTGAACTCCATCTCAGCCAAGAGCTGCTCAGCATCATTGTCATATTCAGGGTCGAATTCTTGTCTTTTGTGGTTGTAATTACTCAATTCAACCAAAGTGTTGTTTCCTGGGGCAACAGGTTTCTTTCCTCCAAAACTCCTGTCTGTATGAGACTCTGACCACAAAACATAGAAAAAGGGAAATTATCTACAATGACAATTACTGGGCATTTTAGTTAGATTTTTAAAATGGTCGATCAAATTAGCAAGACGGAGATGATTCCATTTTCATGATGTTGATCTAAATATTCCTACTCCTGTAAGCTAGAGCAAGTAAATAACACAACGAGAAGCACACATATATTCGAACCACATATAGCACACCAAGCAAAGGACTCACCTTTTTGTGTATCCTCAACTCTGCAAGAAAATTGGATAAGAAATGAGACAACAATAATGCAGGGTGGTATCACTGTACAGAATCTGTGAAGAAGGAGAGACATACTTGACTTTAGGAGGAGAAAACGGGTATTCTTCTTTCATGTTCTGCTCTGTTACCAAGAGAAGAAGCCACATTAATTTCAGAATTAAGATAGCAACACATACAATAAAGAGGAATCACACAACAATCAAGCAAAGTAGTGCAGACCTTTCTTATCTTCTACGCGTCCTTTTGCCATGGCTTGAAGTTCTTTTTTGTTCTTCCCTGCTACATGCGACATATCCTGGAAACAAAAAGTTGTCCCTAGATATTAATACATTACAAAAAACCTAGCACTCCTGTGGCAGATATATATATATATATATATATATATATATATATTATCAGATGGAAATAACATACTGGAAGTGGGAAAAACGGCGAGTTCAAATAAATGTTTTTGTAGTGCTCGAGACACTGTTCTTTACTCTTCGTTCCCACATGCTCCGCGACCTCTGCCCAGTTTCCCAATCCATAAATCTCAAGTCCCTGAATGAAGAGAGATGTAAACAAAGTTTACAGATTTTCTCAAAGAAACAGAAACTATAGTCCTCAAGATGTTAAAAGAAGGAGCAGTACCTCGAGGAGAAGCATTTCATCATCCGCACTCCAGTCAGGACAAATAAGCGGGAAAGTTAGGTTTCCCTGACAAAGCAAAAAAAGATACATTCGCTGAGTCTAGATGATGAAAGTATACTCTTTTTCTTAAACTCTTTGCAAACTAACCATGACTCGGTAAGCGTGATCACATTTGTGAGGAGTAATCTCAGCTCCAACAGACATACATTCTACACAGAGATCGAAATCGGGACAGACGGCACATTTGATCCTGATTTTGCCAGTAATGTCTTTCTGGCAGTAATCGCAGTTGTATTTCCCTCCTCCCTCTGTGCCTGGAACTTCTCCACAAGAAAAAACAACAAACGTTTTGAGTAAAAAAAGAAGAATCTTGGCATGAGAACAAACAAAGACAAGGCTTTGATGATAATGTTTGTTTTTACCCATTGATGTAGACTCAAAATTCTCCACATTAGCTGCATTTTTCTTCTTCCTCGTTCTGCAACAACGCATTAAGCACAATCACACAGATGAAGATAAAGAAGAGACTATATAGCTACTGGAAGTTTTCTAAAGCCACAAAATTGAAAAGATGCCCATTGCCCCAACTGAAACCAATGATTATTGCGCAACGCAGATTGGAATTCAATCAATTTCGAGAAGTTGGAGGAAGCAGAAATTGGGAATTACAAAACCCATAATCGGGAATTGAGTTGTGAATAGGAGCAATACCTCTGGGTAGGGTCTTCGAAATTGTGGAAGTTCCCACGAGAGCGACCCATTGAATTGATTGCCGAAGCAGAGAAGTCGGATTCAAAAACCCAACAATGTCAAGTAGAGAAGATCGAAGAGAAGTTAGGGTTTCGCTAAATAAGAAAGATCTAATCGGAATTCAACAACACTCGGACGAAAGTCGAGAGGTCGGATCTACGATAATTATCGATAAATGGCCTGAGCTCTGTTAGAAGTTAGAACATCGGACCTGATAGAATTAGGCAAGTCAAGGAAAAGGAATTTTCTATTTTCAATTTCAAAGCAACTATGCTTTTAGATTTTCCGGATTACGCCAGTGATGCTTATAATTAATTTAACTGCCTCTACTAAAATCTCACTAATCCACTAATTTTTAAACGTTTTTGCTTAAAAACAAAAAAACAAAAAAAAAAACAATTTCCGGGGTGTGACTTGTGAGAGTAAGACTGAAAATCGAATTTTGAGTGGTTAAAAACTTAAAATACTTAAATTCCACTTCAGATTGATTTTTATTTGCAATGTAGATAATGCATGTTAAGGATATTCTACATTGCAAATAAAGATCAATGAGGTAAAATTTAATCTCTCAAAAACTGGTTTTTAATCTATTAACAGGGTAAAACAAATCATTTGATTGTTGATATATATATTTTTTTAGGTCTTAATGATAAGATTTGCAAAATTTGAATTGAATATGACTTTGCATTTGGTAGACTCGAGTTTCCTCTTCTTATAGTGTCAACCACCTTTGCATCTAAAAGAAAACGAACTCAAAAAGACATTACCGGCGATGAACGGGAGTGGTAAAGACTTTAAGAAGCGATAGATCTATCAAATTAATCGGTGGTGATTTGGATTCAAATAGAGGTGGCGAGTCTTGCTTGGTGACTAATTACTTTATGTGGAGATAATTCTCTCAACTTTTTCAAACTTGAAAATGGCGACTAGATGTAGCTTGTGACTGTCTGAAGAGGTTCTCGTGCCGTTGGTTTGGGGTTATGTGGATTCAAGCGTTCTCATTTTTGTGTTTGTCCTTGGAGAAGTTGTAGGCATCATTTTATGCGAAAAGACTGTTTTATAGGCTGCTCGTGGCAATGACGATGAAACTCAAGTTTCTAGGAATTGTAAATGCAAAATTTTTGAGTGTAAGAATCGATGTTTCGTTTTTGGGAAATCCGCTGATCAGTTTTGTTGTGTCTAGTTTATTGGTTTTGGTTTTGTTCTTCCGTCTGCATGTTGTTGTTATTAGTTTTTGGTCTTTATAACCAAAACCTTTCAATTTCCAAAATTTTGGTCATCAATCGAAGCATCTTCATGACTTCACCATCCTTCTTTTCTTCAACTTTGCTGTTTTTTCTTCTCACTTTTCTTCTTCTTTCAAACGTCTTTTAACTTAATACTCATATCAACAGATGCATTTTCCTTCTCACTCTCCTCATTCATCTCGTTCTCAGGAACCTTCTTCTTCTGCTGCTTCTTCTTCTTCTCCTCGTCACTCTTCTCCTCTGATTTGTTCTCCCTCCTCTTTCTCTTCTTTTCTTTCTGAATTTTAGATGTTTGGTTTTTTTTCTTTTATGTCTTTGTCACAACATCTTCGCTTTCCTCAAACACCTCTTTCTTCTTTTTACTCTTCACAACTATCACATCTTCTTCCCATTGTGATTATCCAAACACTCACCATCATATATCTTCAATCATGCTGTGAAACGGTTCTTATCACATTTTGGAACTTCATAGGGCCACACATGATATATGTCCTCAATAAATTCAGCCTTCATCAAGAAATGTTTCACTCGAATCTAGCTACAAGTATTTTAAACAACTACATCACAAACACACTACTCAAAATTCTGTGAAATTGGAAAGGAAAAATACAATTAGAAACCGTACCTTCTTGTCCTCATTTTCCTTCTTATCCTTCTTTAAAACGTCTTCCAATACAAAACACGTCTGGCCACAACCCCAACGAATAAGAGGAACTTCAATCCCTTGTATTCTTCTCCCAAACAATTCTCCCAATACAGTCACCAACTCATATGCCCATATGAGCAAGACATGCACACATCCATGCACAACATAAGAGTCTCCAGCCAAATCAACAACTTGCACCGATTTGATCAGCTTCTCGAATCCAACTCGACCCCATGATATCTCTCAAACGCTTCCAGATCCATTACTCTTTTCGCAAGCTCCAAAGGGATCCTATACCACGATTAAGCCCTAACACGCCTACAGACAAGATAAGCAGCAAACCAAGCCGCTTCTTCTTCTCATCAGACCATCTTCTAGAATGTGGCATAATCCTAACCAGCTCTTCCCAAGTAGGCCCTTCCTCTGGATTCACTTTTAACTCTCCCCAAAACTCTGTGGTCAACGTTCCAACTATCTTCAGGATCAAACGGATCACAATATAATTTTGTGATTGCACCAAACTCAAAGAGCAAAAATCGTACGCGTTGTCCACCAATCGAGAAAGAAGGCCGGACTCATCGAGATTACCGTAAGTGGTCAGAATCATCGAGATTCAACCGTGGAACAGACTCTAAATCGCCGGAGAGAAATCGCCGAGAGAGAAGAGAATATTTTTTTTGCTTTGCAAAAATGAAACGTCGAAATGAGAGAGGGAATGTGTGACGGCAAAATTAGGTTAGGTTAAATTTTTATTTATGTTTTTGTTTAGTTTAATTTTGGTTTAGATTGATTTTTGGTTTCAGTTTAATAACATTGGTTTGGTTTTCGTTTTGGTTTGAAAAATGGGATGGCAATTTTGTAATACAAGGTTTCTACAAAACTTCATATGTCCTTTTACCCCTTTTTGGATTCAAGGGTTATTGTAGTTATTAAGTAACTTTCCAAGGTTATTTCATTCCATTTACCGAACCGAAATCCATAAAGTACCTATATGGATACAGAAATCACATAGCCGAAAGATACATATCGATTGGAACCTACCCAAACTTGACCCTTACAAAACATTCAACGGAGTTGATGTTGTTATGGAGATCCTCACATAATGCTCCCACCAAAACGTAGACCATAACTTGCAGAACTAGCTTCATGATGGTTGATGTGTGATTTTATGAAGATATTAGGGGAAGCAACATAGCATCCAATATTGCGACTATCGAGAAAGGAATGCTCTGTCTTCACACACAAGAAGCGAAAGAATTGCCACATCGAATCTAAGAAGGAACAAGAGAGGAAGAAATGATCAAGCATTTCCTTCTTGATCCGATGAGAAAAGTGGACAGATGTTTGGAACATTCATATCCCAACTTATGAATTCTTCTCTAGTTTCCTCCACTTGCAATATCAACCACCTTTACATCCAAAGAAAGACGAAGCATCCTAAGACCATTCTGACCCACAAAATCGATGAGCGGTCAAAGAGTTGTTCAAGAGTCCCACCAGAATGATGTAATCTTATCGTTCTTGACCTCACACTTCATGAACGTAGAAAACAGAGGCTTCAACAATGCAACATACTTCTGATAGCCTTAGAGAAGCGAATTGAATCAGGAGTCACTTGACTCCTTGAAGTGAAAGAACGAAGCAACTAACTCGAACTCTACATATAGTTATCTTCACCCATTTGTCCGAGACAAACATTTTCAAAAATAGCAACTATCACATTCATATCACTGAAAAAAGGCTCCAAGTTCATTATGAAACTTGTATCTACTATATTTGAAACTCTGATTTGACCTAAGTTGTTTGACTTCATTTCTCTTTATTACTCATTTTTTCTAGCAAAACATTGTATTTCTCATATTTCACAAAAGAATGGTTCATATAATATAATAGAGCACACCACCAAACTTTAATTTTATAGCCAACATCGTGTAAACCCATTTTTTCTCTCGTGTCACACATTCAGACTCGATTGCATTATATTACAATGGTCACGGGATGGTCCGGATCAGCGGCATGGTTCGCGTCTAATTACGAGTTACCACCGGTTTTGTAAGAAACAAAAAAAAAAGAAAGAAAGGGAGAAAAAAAAACGTTTGCAAAAGGCAAGTCCTTTCATTTAGATACGATTCAATTTCAACCCATTCTCACATGTTCCTCTCCAAATCTTTCCTCATTTCTTCTTTCTTCGTCAATTTCAGAAAGAAAAAAAAAGTCACTAGAGATCTGAGTGAATCGAGCTCCGGTTTTTGTCTTCTCTTTTGGATCATCTAATTTCTCTGCAATAGAGGTCTTTGCTTCTAACATTCAACAAACCCTAAAAATCGGTGACTCCCAACAAGAAACACGTGATTCTCCTTCTTCCTCACAAACCCTCATCTTCTACCTCCTTGTAAGCGTCGGCGATTTCAACCAATACCCTTTCAATTTAGTAAAAACCTAATCTTTGCTTATCCATTTTCAATTAACGTTGTAGGAGAATCAAATGGGTCTCAAGTTTTGGGAGAATCAAGAAGATCGGGCGATAGTGGAATCCACAATAGGCTCCGAAGCTTGCGAATTCTTCATCTCATCGGCTTCCTCCAACCCCGCCCTGACCAAGCTAGTCTCGCCGCCGCCGAGCGATCCAAACCTCCAACAAGGGCTACGTCACGTCGTCGAAGGCTCCGATTGGGATTACGCCATCTTCTGGCTAGCCTCAAACGTCAACAGCTCCGATGGCTGCGTCTTGATCTGGGGAGACGGCCATTACCGTCTCAAAAAGGGAAGCTCCGGCGAGGACTTCTCTCAGCAAGACGAGACCAAAAGGCGTGTGCTTCGCAAGCTTCACCTCTCCTTCATCGGTTCCGACGAAGATCACCGTCTCGTCAAATCTGGACCTCTCAACGACCTCGACATGTTCTTCCTCGCTTCTCTATACTTCTCCTTCAGGTGCGACACCAACAAGTACGGTCCCGCCGGAACGTACGTCTCCGGGAAGCCGCTCTGGGCTGCGGATTTGCCTAGCTGCTTGAGTTACTACAGGGTTAGGTCTTTCTTGGCGAGATCCGCCGGTTTCAAGACTGTCTTGTCCGTGCCAGTGAATTGCGGAGTTGTGGAGCTTGGCTCTTTGAATCACATTCCGGAGGATAAGAGTGTGATTGAGATGGTGAAGTCAGTCTTTGGCGGATCTGACTTCGTTCATGCTAAAGAAGCTCCTAAGATCTTCGGCAGGCAGCTGAGCCTCGGCGGATCGAAACCGCGGTCGATGAGCATAAACTTCTCACCGAAGACGGAGGATGACTCAGGCTTCTCCTTGGAGTCTTACGAGGTGCAAGCAGCGATCGGAGGATCCAATCAGGTGTACGGCTACGAGCAAGGGAAAGACGAGGCGGCTTTGTATGTGACGGACGAGCAGAAGCCGAGGAAGAGAGGGAGGAAGCCGGCGAACGGGAGAGAAGAGGCGTTGAACCACGTGGAAGCGGAGAGGCAGAGGAGGGAGAAGCTGAACCAGAGGTTCTACGCGTTGAGAGCGGTTGTGCCTAACATCTCCAAGATGGACAAGGCGTCGCTGCTCGCTGACGCGATCACGTATATAACGGATATGCAGAAGAAGATTAGGGTGTACGAGACGGAGAAGCAGATCATGAAGAGGAGGGAGAGTAATCAGATAACTCCGGCCGAGGTTGATTATCAGCAGAGGCACGAGGACGCGGTGGTGAGGCTGAGCTGTCCGTTGGAGACTCATCCGGTTTCGAGGGTTGTGCAGGTGTTTAGAGAGAATGAAGTCATGCCTCATGACTCGAGCGTGGCCATCACAGAGGAAGGTGTGGTTCATACGTTCACTCTCCGGCCTCAAGGTGGCTGCACCGCTGAGCAGTTGAAAGATAAGCTCTTGGCTTCTCTCTCACAGTAGTGTGACTGTTATTGAGATTGTATCATCAATGTATTATTTGCTAGCCATAAAACACCAAAACCATACTCCTTTCTATGTAGGAACCGTGTAATTGTACTTTTTAAGTAATGTTATGAGATTTTTCATTTAACATACAAGAGCTTAAACAGAATAGGAACAGCAACGAAATCTCTTACAAGACTGTATTTAAGGCCTTAGTCAGTCAAAACTTACAACACTTGCTACGGTTTATTTATCTACCAATTGTTGAGCTGAGAGGTAACGCTTTTAACGATGGGATGGTACTGAGTATGCAAGAACTTCTTGGCCTCATTGGAGCCAGGCTCTATAAGCCAATCTTCGTATAATCTCTTGGCTATTGGATTCTGGAATGGATCTGAAACCAACGTCTGGATCCAAAAATGTTAACTTAAGAGTATGATTCATACAATATGAATGATGAGAGTACAGTAGAGGGAAACTTACAGTATCATTCATATAAGTAGCTTCCAGTGAGTTGATCAATTCTTTCGGAGACTGGCCTATCTTTGGTTTGATTTGGCCACCACCATTCAAGCAACCTGTGTTTGTATGAATCGTTTAATAACTCTCTAACATAGAAGATAAGTTTTTTGCAACTAGGGTTTTGCCAATGTAGAAGATGAGACCTGTAGGGCATGCCATAATCTCCACGTACTGATACTCGTATTTGCCGGTTTTGATTCTCCGGACAATGTTCTGAATGTTCCGGAAACCGTAACACGTCGCGAATTTCAACAATGTTTTGCCTTCCACCTTTAAGAGAGATTAAAAGATGAAGAGCATGAGACACAAAACGTGGAATCAGTGAGAGAGAAATTGTCAAAACTGTTAGCTTAGGAACCTTACTTGGAGAGTTAATTCACGGAAATCAGAATTCCTTAGAGTTTTAAACTCAAGAGGACCTTCAATGGTTTGTCCAAAGAGTGCTTTTGCCGCATGTCTGAAGATTGTTTCTGCGTAACCACCAGAGCTTCCAGCTACACCGTAGAGATGTCCTTCCTCAGTAACATTCGTCAGCCTGTTGTTTTGCATAGCAAATGTTATACTATTTCACATGAATCCATCAACCTGAAGCAAAGAAGAGGAGATAGTGATCCTTCTTACAATCTATCAAGCGGAGATTCCTCCAACTCTTTAAAGTCGACTCCTTTCAACTGCAAGACACATAACCAACACAATTCAGAAACCAGATTCACATTTTCTGCAATGAAAACAAGGTGAAGTCTCTATCACCTTTATCAGCTCAAGTATTTCGCCAGTTGTCAGCACGGAATCAACCTCAGTCAGGTCATCTCCAAACACAAAATCATCTCTTGATGCCTCCAGCTTCTTATCGTAACAAGGCATCATAGTCACATGGTAGATTTCTTCCAGCCTAGTTCCAAGAAACTGTAAGAAAGCAAACCAAAACGATAACCAGAAGTTTGAAAGAGTATTACAAGTACCTAAGTCCCAACGATTGACAGAGATGGTGTTTGATCACAGCTCCAATACTTTGCTGAGGACTCTTCACAGAAGACACATACGGCAGAACAAACGAGCCAAGCATCTTTTCAGCATAACATATCCAACCTTTGATTCACCGATGAAATTTCGCAACATTACTCTCTCACATGGCTGTTTCACATTCGATTATAACTCAAAACTAAGTGAAGTTTTTTGCTTACCAGGACAAGCAGAGGAAAGCAGAGGGAGAGGGGAGGACTCAGAATCTTCACCATGACCATCATCATCAGAACTAGCTTGCTTGTAACGTCTTACAAACTCATTACAAGCTTCAATGAGAACCAAGTCTCTGCTGCAGCTCGTATCAAACACAGCTTTAACTCCAAGAGACTTCAAGAACGTAGTGAGCTTCTTGAAAACACTAAGAGGAGAGATATCGTAGTGAACCGCGAGCGAGGCTCTCGACTGTGGGGAAATGGAGACGACCACGTCCTTGCTTCTGCTAAGAGCGGAGAGAAACTCGTCATAGTTTTGCTTCTGAAGCAGAACTGTCTCAGCCGATGTTATGCATCCACTGCATCGTATATATGGAAACACCGTTACACTCTAAAAGCCTAAGACAGAGCAGTACTAAGTTGATGCCTCAGAGAGAGGACTAACCTGCAAGCCAAGCAATCCTTGAGAGAAATTTTGACAGCTTCCATTTGTTCTTTTGGGGAAATCACAACCTTTCAAAAGCAAAATCAGCACAGAGAAGGACAGTTTTAGCTGGTGAAGATACATATATATACATAAGCCTAAGTATTATCCATTATTAGATTGACAACGAAAGAGGACTCGAGAAGTGATTAAGCAATGAAATTGAAAACGGAGGAAGTATTGGGAAAGCTTGGAAATTCGGACCTGGGGTCGATCAGGCTTCTTCTCTTTGGGTTTTTTGGGACCCTTGAGAGATATGACACAAGCTTGAGACGGAGCAATGAAATCGCTGAGATCTCCGAGCCTCAAGGTCGGTGAGAATTTCTCCGACATAGCTAACTCGCTTTTCTATTCGAAGCTTAAAAATTTCCAAACTTTACAGTCGAATAAGGATTGGTATCGGAGAAGCTGAGGATATCAGAAAATCAGAACGCCGTCGAAGGTGTTTTCTTCCTCCTAGTTTATATAGTTACAGGTTTTCGATCAAAAACGACCAACGAGAGAGACGAAGCTAAAAGGGATTAAATTGGCTAAATGTAAATGACGTACCAAGTTTATAAGATTCCGATTGTACAAGGGCATAACTCCAATTATATTTATATTTATATTTAGGCCCTTCTACAATCGGAATCTTATAAACTTGGTACGTCATTTTATATTTTTCCTAAAACACACAGTTTCGCTTTGATTACAGCACAAAAGGGCACATTGATACAGAGAAAACACATGGATCCAGCTCTACATATAGTTTGTCACAGAGAAACACATGGTCATCTTAAACAAGGAAGAAGAAGAAGAAGATTTACGAAGCAAGACACCAAGAACAAGGGCCTACAATTTTTCACAGCTTTTTGTTTGTTTCTTTAACAACAACATTCAACATACTAGTACACTAGTAAAGAGCAAAGAGTGTGGCGTTTTGACTTCACCACGACGAGGTCTGGCGGTTTTTGGTGGCACCACCGTACAAGCGGAAGAGACTAAAAGCTGAAATGCAAGACACCAAAACCATAGCAATGGAAGCAAACAAAGCACTAGCGACTCCTTCACCGGCTCGGTTACAGAACTTGCCATACATGTTGCACAGCTTCATCCACTGCAGCTCTTCCTCTCCTTCTTTTGCAATCAATCCTGACTCTGCTGCTGCTGCTATCGCCGCCACACTCATGTACGCCATCGCCTGCATATACACACACACACATTACAATTCCAAGATATAGACTCTTAAAAATGCTAACGAGACTTGGTCTCCTAAGTTTCAATTTTGAATGCAAAGCAAGCAACATACCTACCAAAGTTATTCAATTCAATACTTACTCCTATCTGAGAGATCCAACCAAACCCATTAAATGCGTTTCATAGACTTTTCAACATATACAAAGAACCCTACTTTTTCTCTAGATTTTGACCTAAGAAGCAAACCCTACAAATTTCGAAGCCACTTCACTAATTTTGGAAACAAAATGTATGTAGACTAACCTGATCGCCGGAGAAAATGGTCCAAGCAAGGGGCTTGCTGAGCAAAACGCTTCCTTTCATCGTACACACAGCGCAACGAACCGATTGCAACAGAGAATAAACCGCAGCTATCCCATTCGCCACCACCAAGAACCTGCGCACATCCCACAAGAACAAACAAACAAACATAAAGATTCGATTTTTATCTCTCTCTGGTGTTGGATTAACTAAATCGAAAAATGGGGTTTTGTTGAGGAGAGAGCTAACTAACACAAGGGCCTTCATGTCCGTGTACTTGGCCCTTTTCTCGATTGTGAAGATCATCTTGACCTGAGAGTTTGTAACAATTAGAATGAGCGCGAGGAGAGCGAGGACAGTGACGGAGCACCGTAAGATCAGCTCCGTTAGCTTCAATCTCCGATCAATCAGCTTCATCTTGCCTCCGTGGTAGACGGCGACGTTCCCGGGACTGATTCCGACTCCCAAATAACTCATCTTGTACCCTTAAAAGTCTGATTTTGTACTAAACCCAAGAAATAAAAGAAATCCGAGTTCGTACAAGACAAGAGTGAAGAAGAGTCTTGTATAGAGAGAGAGAGACAGCAAGACTTGGCTTAAGGTCTTAAATAGAGAGAACAAAAAAATCCATGCTTTAACTTCACTCTCAACATCTCTTGGTTGGGTCCCTCTATTATTCGATTGTAACTTTGAAATCACCAAATTAAGATTGTGTTAAATAAAAAAGCAAATATTTATCCTTTACATTGATCTCAATTTGTCTCTAATGCATGTGGGTGGTAACTTGTTGTTCACATTGATAAACTGTAAAACTATTATGATGATCTTGAATTGCGGTTGAATCATAGTCCCAAAATCTGCCAAGTGGTAGAAAACTGAAAATATGGGTTCTGACTCCTGATAATAATTAAAGACCAAAACTACATCCTACTAGTTATATTACTATAGGTTAAAACATCCTACTAATTAAATTACTATAGGTTAAAGGGTTTTAGGCATTAAAGGGTCCCGTTATTAATACGAAAGTGAGAGAACACAATGACCTTTAGGATTCGCTTAATTAAATTACGAGGCTCCATATTTGTCTTTTAATGTTCTAGGAAAGTGCAAAAGATAATTAAAGAGGGAAGAGTAGATTGATATTGATATCTCGAGGAGATTTTCGAATTATTAAGATGGGGACTTTAATTGGATGGCCACACACACATACACATACGCAACACACAAATATTAAATGAATACCATTTTTTTTTCTTATTTATTGCACTTCCCTACCATCATCTTCCCAATTTTAGCTTCTCTAACCAAAACCCTTTTTTGGTTCCGTTTCATTAACTATTTTGCTTAGCCAAATTCGATCAACTTCTTGGTGATGCTTCAATAATACTAGCGCAGTCAAACACAGTTCATAACTGACAGACTTCTTGATTAATCAATTCATGACACTCAAAACACTTTTACTTTTTGAACTAAGTCAATAGGACGGCCTGAGCACATGCAAGATAAGCGGTCAAGTAGGATATCCAATCATCAGAGGCATATTTTTGTTAAATTTTTTCTTAAAGAGTGTATAAATATCATTTACAAAGTTTTAACAAAATCATATTTTAGTTACTTAAATTTTTCTTAGTACAAAGTTTTAACAAGAATATATTTGTAGAGCATTTGTTAACAAATATCTTTAGTATGTGTATCATCAAAAAATTATTACATTATAAAGTAAGTGTTTAAGGAAAAAAATAAAATTATTGTCTCAAATAGTTGAAATAGTTGCGTGAAATAGTTGCGTCACAAGGAGAGCTATATTTAAACCATAAGAAATCAGTGTTTTTTTATATATTTTCGCAAACTATTTACAAATTGGGAATTGTTTATTTAGAACTGGTTTATTTTATGAAGTTCTAACAGAGTTTTTATGTTTTTATTGTTTTGTGATATTGGAAAAAAAAATTTAAAATACATACTTTTTAGATTCGAGTAGGATGTTTAAATTCATTGGACCGATTGAACCGGTACTGTAAATTAATAATACAGGATTAAATGTGTTTGACTGCGGATTAAGATTGTATACTAGTGTGATCATGTAATGTAACACTGCGCAAAGTATGACAAAAATAAGAATGAAATATGTAGAATAGAGTTACAATATTATTAAACAAAAATCAAACAAAATATTATTGATAAATATTACTGCATCATCGTATAGGAAACTCACATAAGTTTCGATAAACAATACTAATTCAATAATAAAAACCAAATATAAAACCGGCCATACATGATAATAGAAATCTAACACAATAAAATCTCTTGTGCCTCTCCAGGTTATGACAAGTGACACATAGTTTAAAACAAATAGCCAATAGAAACATTTGAAATAATCACAGTGAGCAGTTTTTCGGTTTACTTGCCACGCCTTTAACTCGGTTTGGTTTATTCATTTTGCTTCGACCGACCCGCTTACCTCGCTCACCATCAATTCCGACTATCTCTCTCTTCTTCGATCAGAGATTCTTCCTCTTCCACTGATTTCGACTTCTATTTCATTCCCTCACCACCGATTCTGCTTTCTCTCTATTCTTGAATCGGAGTTATTTTGTCGCATGAAATATCATTGTAAACTGGATCGGATCCAAATATCCAATGCCTGTAACTACACCGGAGTTTTCTGTTTACGCTTGCCGGATAATCGCCGGATCCGTACAGTCGCCATAATAGATCTCAATCACGCCGATATCGCTGCGTATTTTCCTGAGGAGCTTGGTTTGTTAACAGATCTCGCTTTGTTCCATGTCAATTTGAATCGTTTCTGTGGAACGGTTCCACACTGGTTTAAGCAGCTGAAGCTTCTGTTAGAGCTCGATCTCAGCAACAATAGATTCGCCGGGAAGTTTCCGACGGTGGTTCTTTAGTTGCCGTCGTTGAAGTTCTTAGATCTCCGGTTTAACGAGTTCGAAGGTACTGTACCGAAAGAGCTTTTCATTAACCATAACCGGTTCCGGTCTGAGTTACCGGAAAATTTCAGAGATTCACCGGTTTCGGTTATCGTACTTGCGAACAGTCGGTTCCATGGTTGTATTCCGACGAGTTTGGTGGAGATGAAGAATCTGGAGGAGATCATCTTCATGAATAATGGGTTGAATTCTTGCTTGCCGGTGGATATTGGGCGGTTGAAAAACGTGACGGTGTTCAATGTTAGCTTTAACGAGCTTGTTGGTCCGTTGCCGGTGAGTGTTTGCGAAACCGGTTTGGTTTTGGTTGAGCAGTTTAATGTGGCTCATAATCGATTATCAGGGAAGATTCTGGTGAGTATTTGTCAGCTTCCGAAGCTTGAGAATTTCACTTACAGTTACAATTTCTTCACCGGTGAGCCTCCTATGTGTCTTAGATTGCCTGTGTCTAATGAACGGAGAAATTGTTTGCTGGGGCGTCCTGCTCAGAGGTCGTCAAAGCAATGTGCAGTGTTTTTGTCTCGACCGCCGGTGGATTGTGGATCTTTTAAGTGTGGCCGTTCTGTTTCACACTCTCCTCCATGTCTTTATTTAGAACTATGTCTCAAGTAGTGATCGCAGGTGGAAGGTATGCGTTCCAGAAATCAAAATCAGTTCTTTATTTATAACTAATCAATAGAAATAATTATTATGATTTGCACCAAAAAATAATTACTATGATTAAATCATTATATCCAGAAATACACAAATTTTTGAAACCTTATTCCCAAAAATGACAGCAGAATTCAACACCGTCATCCCCAAGAGTGCTTAGAGAGAAAATGAAGAAAGAAATATAATCTTGTTTCGTTCGGAGTTCGGAAAAGAAATGAAGAAATTTTTTAATCTTCTCTTCTACAGACTAGAGATCGATAATTTGAGTGGTTCAGAACGAACACCGAACATAATTAAAACGACATCATCTATAACAACCTTCTTTGGGCCCAGGCCCGATGATTAGTAAACCATATTTGGTTAATAGAAAAAATTATGTAATGGAGATTCGATTAAAATATGAAATTATATTTATAATTTAATCAATTAAATTAGTATATGCTGTTGACAAAAAAAAAATTAAATCAATTAAAGCACTAGAAAAAAATATAATGAAAGTCTCCCGCGGCGAAGCTCGGGTATAAGATTAGCAACCATTAGACTCCATCCGTACATCCGCTAGAGCTTTTCGAACACCATCGATAAGTAACTAAACCCGCAAAGAATATGGCCAACACAGCGCTCACTGCGATAAGAACACTGAACCCAAGCATCATTATATATGTCATATTGTTTCTTCACCACACACACTGACACACACACCCAAACAAAATATTTGCAACTCTTTTTTCGAATCCTCTCGGGTGCAAATATTATATATGTATATGCATATATATAGTCAACACAAAAATGTATAGATCGGTTAAATATGAAAATTTTACATTTTGTCAACCACAAAATGGAATTTTTACATTTTAGTTATGGTACTTTGTTAATTAACGGTGAGAGAATGTTCAGCGAGCATAGTGATCGGAAATGTGTTGAGTTTGATAGATCAGAAGCTAAACCGGAATGCTATTGCAATCACACCAATGATGGTCGGTCCCCATTAATGAACAACAGCATGCACTGCATCGTGCTAAACAAGTAGCACACGCGTCTTTTGATAAAAATTGACAGCACGTAGAGGAATGGAGACGATATGGTTTAAAAGTGTAATGCTCTCACGTTTGGGGCCCAACCACTTTGTTATTGATTGGTAAAACCATATACCAACACAAACCGGAGACTTCAAAATCATATAATGTACAAAAAATGTTGATGTAGATAAAGGAGAAAGAAAAAAACAAAGCACAAAGTGTCTCCTAAAAGGCTATAACTTTAAACTCAAAACATTAATCTTCAATCTCTTCAGGGGCTGTGTGATTTAGAACTCCACGAACCTACTCACATATTTGCTCACTCTGGTTGAGAGTATCAGCCACGGTATGATCCCAACCTGCATTTTATTTTTCACTCTCATTATCACAACAGCTCAAAGAAAATGGATTGAGATGTAAGAGAAGAAGGAGCCTAACCATCACATGGCCTGTCAAGTGACCTCCTGTTCCCCAAGATAACAAACTCCCTAAAAGAAGCACATCACACTCAGTTCATGTTGCACCAAAGCCAGCTTTTAACAAGGTAAATTTAACTACTCACCAAATGGTTGAACAAGTTGCTTAGCAATAATGGCAATCGGTGTCCTCCAGAACCAAAACACCAAGATTAGGTATACCACAACCTAGAGACAAATGTTCTTAGCACATAGGAGATTTTAAAAAAGAAGAATCTTGAACTTGAACACACAGTTTAATCTACCTTTGAAGCAAGCAGAACCTGTCCATAAAGATCATATGACGACTTGATTTCTTTGTTATGCTGCTCCATATCTAAAATTTCAAACAGGGGATTCACAGATAAACACATACATGTCCATGATTATGCAATGCTCTTGGAAACTCTCTACGCTCACTAAGCCAATCAATCAATGCTGAGCTAATATGCATGAAGAAAACTCACATTGAGCAAGTTCTTTCTCTTTAGTAGCTGCTGATCTCCTAAGCTTTGCGGCTTGCGCAAATGTGGCTGGCCTACGAGTGAAAACCATAGAATTATACCTCTGATCATACAAAAACTCACACAGATTTTTCAATCGCTACAAAGTGCTAAGTGCTTACTGAGACAATGCACTGGCTTCTCTCAAAAGCTGCTTAATTTCGGATCGAAGCTCTGCTTCTTTCGTATACTTTGATCCTTTCTGGAGGAGATTTCAGATAAATGGAGAATTTTAAAATGGGTTGATGTGAAAACGCCAAAAGGTTTCAACTTTTGATTACCTTCTTCAATTGGTCGAGGTACTTGGATAGCAACTGGAAGACGACGACGACGAAGAAGGTCAGAGGTGCGGCTAAAAAGCCGCGATCTTCAATCAGATTCTCTCCCATTAACCCTTTCACGCTGATTCTGATGTAATATAGCAATCCGCTAAACCCAAAATTGAACAATATCTGTAAACAGTGATTTCTCTCTTAATCTTATATTCAAATTCGGCAAATTAGAAACCCTAATTGGATCCGTCATATCCTCGATAAACAGATCATCTGATCTATAGATTGCAGCGACGATGAAGAGTGAAGATTAAAACGAGATCTTCGTGAATGATTCGGCAATAAACAGAAACTTACACTTTCCCTCGTAGAAAATCAGAATTTCAAGCCTTCAAGCGGAGGAGCTTATACATGAGATATGATCTGGGTTAACGCCTGAAATTGGAGGATTGAAATTGAAAAGAGGATCGTTTCGATTTTAAAAATAAAAGTATATATTCTTTTTGTTTTAAAAAATAAAATTCAAGCCCTTATGAGTAAATAACGATAACTAAGAAACTGTCTTCACTAGGCTGCTATATAATTCCAGCCAAAGCCCAAACTCATATTAATAGAATCGGCCCATTATGTTATATATTTTTTCCAAGTAAGATTGTCATGGCAGCTCTCAACAATGTCTAGAAAATTTATAGGTCATGTTCAATTTTTGAAATATGTATCATAAATAGATGTTTAAAGAAAAACTGATTTAGGATTTGAAATACACTATTTGTTCTTGTTCATCGCAACACATCTACAAAAAAAACTTACACAGAGCCGTCCCTGAGAAGTGGTGGACCGCAATCAAAAAACATTTTTGGGTATGTAAAAAGTGTTTTAGAAAATAAAATTAAAAAGGTGAAGCTGAGATTCAAACTATCAACCTACTGTTTCCTCATCTAAGTGCATAACTAATTCATCAACATGATTTTCTGAAAATTCAGAAAAGTTTATATTCTTTAAAGGGCCGCAAGCCGCAAGCAACTGCTTGCTTTGCTTGCTCCCAAGATCGGCTTTGACTGTACATACAGGTCTAGTGTACAAATGTGAAAAAACAACTAGATAAAATGAGTAGCGAAAGTTAGAATGAATAGTGTAAAACAGATGTAAAACAAAGATAGCATCATGGGTCAAACAAAAGAAATGTTAAAATTCTCTAGTAAAAAAACACATAATTTTTACGTGGAGTGGTTGTAATGGGAGTAGAAGAAATAGGCACGCGTTGTCTTCTAATCTCACTCAACTAATCTAAAGACATTTTATGTTTTGTCTCATCCGATCCCCACCTTAATTATAATTATGTTACTCATTGGGTTTATCATCAAATCAGAGAGCATTATCGATAAAATTCGCAGATACCGAAGCAGAAACAAATAAGAGAGAAACAATGTAAATCCAAAACCCTAAACGTCGTAGCATCTTCAGCTTTGGTGTATGCATGCCATTACATTCCAATTACTTCCCGACAAATATTTTGCTCCCACCACTTTTGATGTGCCTTTGAAAACTTTGCAGTCCCATGTCTACTTCCTCCTATCTTATCAACCCCCGCTCCGATTTCTAGCTGTATTGTCTCGCTTCTTTTGTTACAGATTGTTACAATCAATTTTTTTCCCAAATTTAATCTTATATCAAAACTCATCATGAATGATACACTACGAGGTGGTGGTACGGTGGAAATAGACAAGTTTTCATCGGTTCTATACATAATACATAATACGTTACTACCCTAAAAATATATGGTAATGTACATGCATGGATGTTTTTAGTTATGGGAAGAGAGCTTTAGAATAGCATTTCGATGGTGAGAAAACGAGGAGATCGAGGAAGAATGTTTTTGAGTATAAACGAGCAATCTTATTCACAATTATTTATCAATCTTATTATAAGCTGATATCATTATTCATTCCCTACTCCTGAGCTCCTTTTGTCTTTTTATTAGTAGGTAGGCCCACTTTTTGATATACTTTTTCCATCTTGCCAAATCATAAGAAGTTAAAAAACATAAAAGTGGATCAACTAATTTATAGAAACCATTAACAACTTTTGACACTCTTCTTTAAAGTGTGTTTCATTTTTAATCTGATGCCAATAACATAACTTTAAACTCCACCGAGAAGATTTGATGTGGAGACAAAGAAGTGGCTCCATTTCACCATCTCCCAAGCCACCAAAATCTCTCCTAAACCCTTTTGTCACTCCCTTTTGTTGTTCACTGTTTTTTTTTCCAAGGAATAGTAAAACCTCTTTGCAGTTTCTTGAACTTATATATAGAAAGTACAAGTACAATTGTCGACGAATTTAGAAAAATTATGCATACGATGAACTTTTAAATAGAATTCTTATAATTATTGGTTAGGTTAGGAAATGTCCCTGCATGCAGCATGCATTATAATATATGCAAAGTTTTCTTAATATTGTATTGAAATTTTATGGTAGAAAAAATTGGTATGCATACGATCAAAAAAACATTAACAAGAAAAGTATAAATGTAATCTAAATCTCGTGGGAAATAATAAAGTTTCTATTTGAAAAAAGAGCCCTTAAGAGGAGGTAAGTGGGGAGCACGAAAAATAGGGGGTTCAATAAATCTCAATAATCATCCAAACAAACCAATCCATGTGCTTCCCTTCAAACATTCTCTTGTCATTTTCCTCCCAACCATTTTCTACTTTGGCCAACTTTTTTCTTTTGGTTACTTTAAAAAAGAAATTTAAATATGCAAAATCTCCACTCACACATTATACATTCTCTTTTTACAATCCTTAGATTGTCCCTTTTGCCTTCTTCCTCTTGTTCTCTTCCCACTTTACTCCTGATTCTCTTCCTTTCGGAATTTCATCGAACTACTCAACAACCCTATATGATTTTATCATTTTTTTGTAATATTCTCATGCAGATTAAATAATAATAAATATCGACCTTTTTCCTCCATATATAAGCAGATACAACACACGTAACATGGCCCCAAAACCTAAAGCAAACATACTCTCCCAAGACTCATATCATTAATCACCAAATTATTATTATACTTTTTTTACGTCATGAGTTCAATGGCAAGAGACCGAAAGGAACAAATGGTAATCCAGTCTTCGATCGTCTTGCTACAAGAAAGATTCAGACAACTTCAGAGAGCACGAGAGCTAAGAGCTGAGAGAGAGCTCCTAAACACTAAACCTAACCACCAAGACAAGAACATCTTACAATATTACAGCGAACCCGCCAGTTTCGGTTTCTTCCAGTTTCTACCTCTAAACTCTCAAACATCATCGCCACAACAGCTCCTCTCTCTCTCCTTATGCCCTCACTCCACCACTGAAGTCATTGAGAAGCCAGGCCTTTGTCATCACTGGCCAATTAAGGACGACAAGAAGATGAGTGGGTTTGATCGATACGATGATGTTGATACGTCTCTGCGTCTCTAAAACTCATAAAACCGCTCCTCCATCTTTCTTTGGTTTTAATTTATAAATATGTATGTATAGCCCTTTTTTGGTCGGTATGCTTTTTTAAAGAGTTTTGTAGGTGGTGATGTTATGTATGGTTCAAATGCGATCATATATAGTATTGATCATTTTTAAGTTAATGATTATGATATATTTTATATTACGAATATCATTATATATGATCTTACTCATTGACCTATTCGTTCTTGTTTTTGATGGTTACCAACTTAACATCATCGCTCTCCATGTATATCAGTATATGATCCGTCTTTCTACTTTTTTTATAAAGGTAATAACTTAAATTCAACCAAAAATGGCATCATAATTAAGGAGGCATATTTGAAATATTGATTTATGATGGGTTACTCTTGCGCATGTTCAAACCCTGCTTTGCTTTTGCTTCTCACGAAAATTTAATTTTTAATTTTATAAAAATAAAAAGTTTCTCATACAAGTCATGAGACATGATATAACGTCCATCACAAATTCACAATTCAAAACTCATTTGCCTATATTCTCTTCAGTAATCAGTACTCTGATATATGTCAGTAATAATGAAAGAGAGATAGTTGATTATGTTCCATTCAATCATAGATTTTAATGGAATATAAATTCGAACATAACCTTTTGTAATGTAATAGACTAATAGTTGATTATAAGTTATGTAGTGGAACTTGTTTTTATTGGATCTTTAACTAAACAATTATGGAATCAAATTTGAGCTCTCAAATTCTAATAGTAAAGACTATGAAATGTGTTTGATTTTTAGTTGAAAAAATAGCCGACAAACAAAAAAAGTAGTTGAAACATAATGATGAATATTTGAACTAAAGAGCATTGGGTTCGAGAATCGTACGAACATGGTCACATCGCAGAGCCCCCCCCCCCATGCTATGTTCTTAAAAATGGGCCCATTTCGCTAGATAGAGTCCAAGAAGAGCCCAACGAAGAAGTTTGTGGGCCCGAGAGAGCCTCTAAACGAATCGGAGGCTCCCCTGCTTTTGTTGGAAATCCGAAATCGAGTAACCTAAGATTGACAGGAAGTAGAAGAAGAAGATAGATTCAGTTCACAGCTGAGATTCGTAGATTATCGAAGATGAACACTGACATTACTGCCTTGGAGAAGCCCCAATTCCCAGTCGTTGATCGGAATCCTCCGTTCACTAAAGTCGTCGGAAATTTCAGCACCCTTGATTACCTCCGTTTCTCTACTATTACCGGCATTTCCGTCACCGTCGGCTATCTATCTGGTCCACCTTTTTCTCTCTCTCTCTCTCATTTGAAATTTTGCAATCTGTTATCAAATTAGCTGATCGGTGATTTGGATTTGGGCGATCTGTAGGGATTAAGCCTGGGATTAAGGGTCCGTCAATGGTAACGGGAGGATTGATCGGACTCATGGGAGGTTTCATGTATGCGTATCAGAACTCGGCGGGTAGACTCATGGGGTTTTTCCCCAACGACGGTGAGGTCGCTGATCACCAGAAGCGTGGTGGTTTCAACAAATGACTTTTTGGGGTTTTTTTCCCCTCTTTTGCTACTTCTACAAATTCGAAACCCTAATTTCTTGTAATTTGGGTTGAATCTACTCTTGCTGGTTTTTGAGGATGTATTTGCCTCTGTTTGTTTGTTTTGATGACTTGTGATCAATAAAGATTTGAGCTTGCTTGAAAAATATGTAAACTTTTTGAGAAAGTTGATGAATTCTTGTGATTTTGATGTTGCAATAAGGATTCTGCTACTGCTGCAATTAGACTTCTTTGATAGGATCCTGTTGGTATGTTGTTTCTCTTTAGTGTAGTTCGCAGTAAGTTTTGGTTTGCAGAGGAACAAGAAGCAGCTGCATTTTGAGTCTCTCGACAATCTGTGTCTCAATTCGTATTCTGGAAGAAAGGTATTGGTGTGCCTCACTATCTATCTAGCTTTGCTTGGGAAGTTAATCTGAAAATCCAATCTATGGCTTGATTTGCATTTGGGTTTTTGCTGGTAAGGTAGATTTGGCATTTCCGTATGATAGTGTTTTGTGGTTAGTGATAGAAACAGTTAGCTTTAGAATTGGCATTGTGTTGGTGTTGTGTTGGTACTACCAAGTTGGTAGTATAAGAGTCATTGCGGCGACTGGTGAAACAAACAGATGTGGTAGCTTCTTCCCTTGTGGTTTGTTTGGAATTGGTTAGTTTGTTTGTTCAGCTATTGAAGATGATGTATCAACATTGTAAAAAGTAATCGATTCTTCTTTTCGAGATCTCTCTATGGATAGTCTCTTAGTGTTTGGAATTTTCTTTTACGTCACGGCTCTGTCTGCAAATTTTGCTCAACTTTCCACTCAACAAAGTGTGACTACCATCCATTTCTCTGATTGCCATGTGCCATTTGTTCAACTACTATATTCACCCAAGAAATGTCCATGGTTTATGGATTTCAAATGAATCTATATTGTCTCTTGATCGCATTAACTGGATAAGAAAAAACCCAACAATGGGTAGTTCCAAACCAACATCGAGTACCACACCTTTTATGTTAGATAAGAAAACCGAAAATGCTTCCATGAAATGAGTAACAAAGTTTAACTTATTATTTTTTAGACTCAAACCCTTTCCACATGCTTATGTGCGGCACACGAATACGCCTACAAGAAAAGTATGATTTGGTTCCTAGATTACTAATTTACTATCCATTGTTAGAGTTAATTAGTTACCATGCGATACATAATTGTTTTCAAGGTCGATCTTTTTATGATTCGTTTTATGGTATATACATACAGACATATGTTGGGTCCGATTGGTGACATTGTAAATAGTGGTGTATTACAAAATTTTTAGTCGTAGATAGCTGTAAGAAAAACAGTGGTACAAAATACTCCCTCTATTTTAATATATAAGGGGGCTTTAGAGGATTTTTTTTTTTCAAAATATAAGGGGTTTTAGAGTTTCTATGCAAAATTAAATGTGTTTTTGTTACTTTTGATTATTTATATTCGACAGATTTTTTTTTTCATTGGTTAAAATGTTTTGGAATTGATGATAAAATATATTTTATTTTAAAAAGTATTCAAATTAAATAACTTCTTAATCTGTGTGCAAAAATCTTAAACCCCCTATATTTTGGAACAGAGGGAATATAGCAGTACAAAAAGAGATGATACAAAACAATAGTACATACTTAAAATATGAATGGTAACATTGTGACAATACAAATAATGTATTTTTAAATGGAAATACTAATTATTTAAGTATTCAAAATTAAGAATAGTGTCTAAAAAAGTAACACAACTTTTTTTTTGTTATAAAATTACCAACACCTTCACTTAGTACAGAAATATTACATATAAACTACAAAGTATTTAATAAAATGATATTTTAAATGTCCGAAAAAAAATTGATAATTAAAATTGTTTGAAACCTTCAGATATTAACACTGTTCATTGTTTTTTTCTTGTTGCGTAATTACAATTACTCATAGTTTATTTAATTGTCTAAAAATCCTAAATTAGACCTACACAATAGTATTTTAAGTGTTTCTAGCTAAAAAGATAATGAAATTAAGAAATATTAAATTAAATGTTGTTATATAATGTGTGGATATATTTGAAGTTAACAAATTCAATATTTCACAATTATCATTGATTCATCCATTATTTAAATAATTAATGCATAATATTAACAACATCAGCTCTAAACATATTGTCACTTTACCATTAAAACTAACCATTGAAATAAAATTGAACATAGCTAACAAAAGAGAATTATGTTTTATATTTTGAACTGTTTTCAGTGATATGTAAATATTTCCTTTTAATTATAAAAATATTATTATTGACAACCACATACTAATAATAATTTTACCCAAAAGAAAAAGTAGACTCACACTATAATCTCCAAATCTTTTCAAGAACATCGTAATTATAAATTTTCCACAAAAGATTATGATGATAAAGTTAAAAAAATACACATCATTTACAAAAAAAAAATTAAAGTTAAACAATAATTTTATACATGATGATTAAATTGTAAACTACTTATGTTATATTCATAAAAACATTTACCAAAAATAAGTAAGTGACATGTTTTATATGATACAAATATAAATATCACTAAATAGTTTATAACAGAAAACTATGCAAACTAAATTATTATCTTAAAATATAACTAAATTATTATCACTCAATAGTTTATAACAGAAAACTATGCAAACTAAATTACTATCTTAGTTTTATGAAACAAAATTACTATCTTAAAATCTAACACATCATATTTTATTTTCAAAAATAAATTACCAACATATTTAAAAAATATTATTTTAGAATTAAGAGTGGGTAAGCAATTTTCAGTTTTTTTATTATTAATAATTGCCTGTTTTGTTATGATACTTCCTTATACCACAAATTAAAAAAGTATGCCATGACAACAAGAAAATTGTCCAATTAGTTTTTTTTTTCTTCTTATAGTTTTTATTTATTTATACATAAACAGAAATACTTGTTGTTAGATCTAATATGAGTTTTTTTCTTAAATATTAGATTATATATAAAATTTGATTAACCAAGTATATTTTAAAGGAATTTTAATTTAAACATACACAACACAGTTACTTGCTTAGACAATATATTTTATTTTTCATTTGAAAATATACTATAAAATGAAATGAAAATTAGTAATAATAGACAAGATAAAAAATTTATATTCTTAAGAAACTTTTAAAGATTATCAATCACCTCCTTCTCACATTGTTAGTTATAAAAACCCAAAGTTATTGAGCAACAAAATTTTACCCCAAACAAAAAAATCATAACACTTAATTTTAGTCAAGACAAGACATAAATAAAAGAACTTTGTACTATCAGTTTATTTTTGTAATACTCTACCAAAGTAGCATTACAACTATACCATCATTACAACATTTGTACTATCACTTTTTCTTGTAATGCTGCATTTTTTTGTAATATCACTTTTGTAACACCATATGTGTAATATATATATATATATATATATATATATATATATATATATATATATTTTTTTTTTTTTTTGAAAATAAAAGAAAGTGCCCTAAACCAAAATTTTATTAATCCAACAACTCTCATAGAAACTCTATATTATTGCCAAAATAATAGTATTGCCCAACTGTTGTCTGTAGCTTTATGATTTTACTTGATCTTGTTAAGAGAAATCAAGTTTTTTGGTTACTTATTTTAATATATGACATATTTGCAGGTTAAATTGCTTAGTTCATCGTTATTGTTTTCTTTTGATATGTCTTCTTTGAGTGAAATATATACTATATTTACTAATTTGTTACATATTATGTTGAAAATAGATTGTTCCGTTTTTCTTCTTCTTTCTAATATGTTGGTATAATTAGCTTTTAGTATCTATCTATCAATAGAAAAATATACTCCCTCCATTTCAAATTAGTTGTTGTTTTGAGAAAATGTATATGTAATAATTTGGATGTACTAAACTCAAAATACATCCATATACATCCAAATAATTACAGATACATTTTCCCAAAACGACAACTAATTTGAAACGGAGGGAGTATTAGTATAGACGTGTATCTGGAGAATATTTAAAACATAAGGAATATTTTCTCATTTTTTGTTAAACTAGATCTAAACTAACGCTAAATTTTAGTAAAATATTATATAAATTTAATTGTGTTTTTGTCACATGATATTTATTTTATCTTGTTTTTTATTTGGTCAAAACATCTTTTTTTTAATATCGTACTATTTTTTTATAAATTATTCTATTAGTTAACAATTTTTATAAAAATATGCCCAGACTAAATAATTTTCTGGAATATATAAGATACCAAATCAACACTGGTTTTCTCCATGCATTTCAAAATAAGAATATGTGGGTCTTCCTTCTGGTATATAATTTTGTCCCAACTTCTCTGGTTAATCACATCATTTATCAAGTTTGTCTACAAAATTTTACGTACAAAACTAAAAACACGTACAACTGTGTTTTTTTTTTCTTTAAAATATACTTGAAACACAAATATTTTTTTTGATAAAAATGTATATTAGAGCTACTGATATACTAAATTTTACAAGTATAACATATATTATATGACTGTTCAGTAGTGAACAACATTATTATAAAAAAACACGGAACCATCTAGTTTATTGAAAAATCAAAGAAACAAATATTTATATGGAATGTATCTATCTATATTTGCAAATAAGATGTATAGTGGAAGGTTTTAACAAAAAAAAAGATGTAAAATGGAAGGTAAAAAAAAAGTTTTATAGGATATCAATTAACTGAATTTTATCGAATAAAAATTAATTATCAGGAAAATATTTGTTGGAATTTGGGAGAAACATTCACTGAATCCTTATCCCACATTGCTGTCGCTTCGACTCCGCGACATATATTCAGGTATGTTTTCTAATATATCTCACATTATTTTTCGTTTTCTTTGTCATTCATACACAATAATGTCTTTTGTAATTCTTATTCGTTCTCACCATGAATTTGCGAGTGTCTATATTTTGTGATTTTGTTTGCATAAGTTTTGTTCACAATAATGTATTTGGTCTAATCTATCTTTTGTAGTTTCCACGATAATGCATAAAGTTTCACTTTATTTTTTGTTTTCCTTGTCATTCACACACAATAATGGGCCTGATTGGATGTAGGTGTAGCTTTAATTTTTTTGCTGTAGATTTTACGCTGTAGAATTTTTGGCTGTAAATATAGATTTTAGTGCTGTAGGATTTCTTATTGTAGATTGTGTTATTAAATATAGCGTTAAAACAGAAAAGATAAGATATAGAAATAATAGATTAAAAAATAAATATTGAAAAAATAATAAGGAAAGAGAAGAGAGAAAATTCTAAGAGCACTTAATTTGGTGCTCTAGAAAAATTGCTTTCCAAAGCCACGGAACTTCCATAAATATAAAAAATTGCTCTGTGTTTCAAAAATGGAAAGAGACAGAATGAGAGCATGATTGGTAATTTTAAATTGCTGTAGAAAGATTTTGGGCTGTGTAGAGCAACCACAGCTCCTACCAATCATCCCCAATGTCTTTTGTAGTTTGTATCCCCTCTCAACATAAATTTGCAAATGTCGGTATATTTGAAAACAAGGAAACAAATACTTATATGGAATGTATCTATCTATATTTGCAAATAAGATGTAAAATGAAAGGTTTTAACAAAAAAAGATGTAAAATGGAACGTTAAAAGTTTTATAGGATAGCAATTAATTAAATTTTATGGAATAAAAAATAATTATCAGGAAAATATTTGTTGGAATTTGGTAGAAACATTCGCAGAATCCTTATCCCACATTGCTGTCGCTTCGACTCCGCGGCATATATTCATGTATGTTGTCTAATCTATCTCTCATTATTTTTCGTTTTCTTTGTCATTCATACACAATAATGTTTTATAGTTCTTATTCGCTCTCACCATGAATTTGCTGAGTGTCTATGTTTTTGTGGTTTTGTTTGCCTAAATTTTGTTCACAAGAATATATTTTGTCTAATCTATCTTTTGTAGTTTTCACAATAATGTATAAATTTATGCATTATTTTTCATTTTTCTTGTCATTCATACACAATAATGTATTTTGTAGTTTTTATCTGGCCACTCTCAGCATAAATTTGCAAAAGTCCGTATATTTAAAAACAAGGAAACAAATACTTATATGGAGTGTATCTATCTATATTTACAAATAAGATGTAAAATGGAAGGTTTCAACAAAAAAAGATCTAAAATGGAAGGTCAATTTTTTTGTTTTGTTTTATAAGATAGCAATTATTATATTTTTTTTCGAATAAAAAATAACTATCAGGAAAATATTTGTTGGAATTTGGGAGAAACATTCGCCGAATCCTTATCCCACATTGCTCTCGCTTCGACTCCGCGGCATATTTTCAGGTATGTTGTCTAATCTATCTTGCATTATTTTTCGTTTTCTTTGTCATTCATACACAATAATGTCTTTTGTAATTCTTATTCGCCCTCACCATGAATTTGCGAGTGTCTCCATGTTTCTGTGTTTTTGTTCGTATAAAATTTTGTTCTTCTGCTTATTGGGTAATCAAGATTTATAGAATCTAAAATGGATTTCGTAAGTACAGTAGTCCGAACCTACTGTTAGTTCATTTGATAGATCCGCACCGTAAATATGAATCTTTTTATTCGCTCTCCTCATATCATATATCATGGATATTGCAATTGTCATCTGTGTAAAAACAATTCCTCCAATATCACACTTATTACGACTAAAAAGAAAAGAGGAAAAAACTCGCTCCTTTCGGAGGGGAAGTGAAAAAGATGAATAAAAAAGTATTCAGAACAAAAGAAGAAAAAAGAAAAAGAAAAGAGGAATATGAGCAGAATTAATTTTGTTTTTTCCACTGTTTTGTTTTTCTTATTCCTGAGCTCTCTGATTTTTCTCCTGTTCGCCGAGTAACAATTTTTCCACTTAGTATATGGGTCTCATTAAAATTAAAAGACAAAAAAGAAGAAGAATTGTTTTTTCCATAAACTCTTTAACAAAAAAAAGTTCAACATAAACCATAAGTTTCTAGAAGAAGCTAAAAGAATTGTTGATTCCATTTATTTTTGTTGTCAACCATGTGCACTTTATGTATATATTATTATATAATCTTACTGAATTCTAAGCAGATACTCAGAGAATGAAGGAAGAAAGAGCGGAACCGAATAAAGGTAGCATAGAGAAGAAAAGGGAAAAGTGGCGTCAAAGAGACAGACATAGAAGACAATCTATGAGCCAAGAAGAGAGGGAAAAGCATTTGGCTCAGCGCCGCAGAAACTACCAGCTTCGAAAAGAGAGAGCTGAGTTAAGTCTCATCGACTTCCAGAGTCAGTCCATCACTGGAGGCAATCAAGCAGCATTGACCTCACCGCCTGAAACCGGAGCCAGTAGCGTCCCGTTGGTTGAGTCTGATGAGAGTGAGTAGGCTCTTCATCTAATTAGTGAAAAATACAAAAGAGATAACTGTAGAGGTGTATCATTGTTTATATATATACGTTTTTGGTGACATGCAGTTGCAGGAATACCAGAGAAGAAGATGGCTAAGCTGTTGGGGCCAATACGGCTAAGCCGTGTGAAACATATTGCAAGAAACCTGAGCAAGTTTAACGTTACTAGTGTACAAGAGAGCAAAGGAGAATGAACAACAAACGAACAGCCAAAAAGTAATTAAACTAGCTCTTATATATTTTAATGATTATGTGTCATTTAGCTCTATTATCTATGTGTCATTTAGCGCTCTCCACAAATCTCCATTGAAATAATTTGCTAACTAATTTTCTTCTTCTAATGTTAACAGAATCTCAGCCTCATTAGAGTTTACAATTTGGATTATGAGAGTATCAGTTTAGAGTTTGTAAAAGTGAACCCGTTATGTTTTTGAAGACAAGTACTGGAAACACCATTTATTTTTTCATATACAATGTGGGAATACATTACATACTTTATTTTTGTCTTAATCAAATTCGTTTCCTATTACACAGTCAACATTTGTCTATCAAAAGAAGAAATGAGAGTAGAGATGTCGACAACAGAGAGAAAATATAGATCATTAATGTAACTAGGAAACAAATCCACGCGTTGTTAGGCTATTTCGAGATCAAATTAACGTTGAAGTTTGCATATACAAAAAAAATCAATCGTCATTGGATATCATAAATAGAGTCAAGAAATATACACTTATGTTAGAGAAAGGAGAAACGTGGTAGACTGATAGTATAATTAAGTAAATTTGATTAGGATTGTCAATATGAATATGCTTGTGAACCAGTGCGGCAAATCAGCCATGCATGATGCATCTTTCAGTCTTTCGGGGGCATCACTGATCTTAGTAAACATGTACCAACAGATGAGTTGTTGCACCAAAGTCCTACGCTTGCCACACTTTTACCATGAAAGAAAGTATGTTTAACATAGTATAGCATTTGTTGATGTGATGCTTTCATAGCTCAGTTGGTTAGAGCACCCGTTTAGTAAGCGGGAGGTCTTGAGTTCAACTCTCAATGAAAGCAATCTTTTTTATTTTTGATAAATCATGAGCTATAATTTGAATGGGCCATTCCTTGTTTTTGGGTTGGGTAAATAATTAGCATAAAAATTTAAAATTTCTAATCACATGATTAGGGCTTCCAAGTTCCGCCGTTTATCTTTTTTTTTTTTTTTGATAAACATTCCGCCGTTTATTTTATATAATAGATGACTCAGATTACAAGAATTTCATTGCCTCTCATTCTTGCAACCGTATGCTTTCGTTTAGTCTACTTTTTTGTTTATTGTATACAGTTCTTAGTGAATATACGTGACGCGATTTTCTCTCCAAGAAATCGGTTACTTGATTGGGGCAATCTAAAAATCGTGGTTGCATAACCCTATAAGTAAACGTCACAGAGAAAACCCTAACCGGCAGTGGAAGACGTAGAAGGATCCTATATCCTCCGTCGGAAACATCGTCGGGAAAGGTCTCATATTCCATCGCCTTGCGGAGCGGCGTTGCTGCCTTTACCGTTTGGGACCGGCCATGACACCTACATAAATTTCTTTCTCGTTTTATATTTTGCCAGTGAAGAGATGAGATTTATAAAAGATCACCATCTTTCGGGACTGATTAAGCTTCTATGAAGCCTATGCTGACTTTATCCAATTCTGAGGCTTTTGTTTTTTCTTGTTTCTTCTTTGATTGATTAGTGGCAGTGAGGAGCAATTCGAGAACGCCATGCACCACTCTGATATAGATCTGTTAAAGGATCTTTTGCTGAGAATTTCTCTTAACTTTAATCTGAGCCTTTTTTTTAGCTACAAAATGTTTATGATACTATAGTTTCTGGTTAATATGATTCATTGTGATGGCAATGACGACTCGGAAAATTCAAGCTCAACAGACCGGAATTAGGCGTTTCTTTCTCTTTTGGATGATTCGCTTCTGTGTCGATAATACCGCTGAACTGAGCCTTATCTCTAAAAGTTTTGTTTTTGTTTGATATTAGTATTAAAAAAAATATATATATAAATTACGTTTACTTTTATTGTTTCAACAAAAGTAAACGACCCAATATATTATGTTATGTCTGTTTTCCAAAACAAAAACAAAATGCCATGAAATGCCATGAAACGATCAAAAACAAATTTTTTATGACCATAAAAAATTACAAAAGTTACAACCTCGTTACTTTCTTACCACAAAAGATAATATTTTGCTACAGTTTCTCACCACTTTCTCACTAATCAAAAGATTTAGGCCCCAGTTTAAGAAAAAGGGACTACGTTCTTAAACTCTTAATCTTATGCAACCTCTCTACACAGCCCGTTAGTAGTGGGAAAGTAGTGCGGAAATGTAACAAAAAAATTATCTTCCTCTGCTGATTTCTTTGGTAGACTTTTCGAAGACCCCAAAAAAAAAGCGGATCCTTTTGTTTCTTCCAGCGTTTCTTTCTCTCGAAATGCTGTGTATGGTTGCTTGGAAGACATACCTAGTAAGGAAGAGATGTGTTCCTCGATGTTGATTTCCTGAGATGAGCGAGACAATTATTTCCCAATCTGTTGAAAAGGTGGATTGGAGGAGCTTGGCGGTGAGCTGTGTCCAAATCTCCGAGGAGTAGGGACAGAGGAAAAACAGATGGTCCCGTGATTCTGTCCGGTGTTGACAGAAAACACAGGAGGGGTTCACACCTAAACTCCATGATAGCATACGGTCTCCCGTTGACAAGCAGTTGTGAATTGCGAGCCAAGCGAAGAAAGTATACTTTGGAGTGGCCTGAGAGAACAAATCCCTTTATACCAGTCAACTTGCCGCGAAACTTCACGAATGAGATTCCAAGTGCTGGCGGAAGCGAACTTATTTTTAAACTCGTTGTCTTTGATTTTCCAGAGTGGAATATCCTCTGCTTCCATCGCTGTTTTCCATCGCTGTAGCTACTGAAGCATTGATATTTATTCCCATGTCGATGGGACCTTGTTCCCCTGTGAGTTCAACAAAGCCGTCCCATGTCGGACCACGCATCAAACCAAAAAGATGTATTATGACCATTTTTGACTTTCTACGAAACCTTCTTCGGTTTTATTTCTTCTATGTTCGTTTTCCTTGTTCATTCTTCTCAAAATCATATGAGAATATGATACTTTTCCGGCTCAGAACTTCCATTCGAAAAGTTTCCAGAGGATCATAGCCATTCTCGCTAAATGATGGTTTGAGTATTTTTTTTTCTTTGTGATTTTGGGAATGGCGAATGATGCTGATAAGTATATCTTGGAATCGTGGTTTTATCATTGTTCATGATAAAAAAAATAAAACTTCTGAATTAGATTCCCATGGCGTAAGTTACTCTTGATCTTCATTTTATTTGGATTCTGAATATTAATCTGAAAATTATGAGAATGATTATTCCAACTCAAGAAAATAATTCTGATTTTTCCAAAAATTTATTCTCGTTTCTTCATCGCTCATCAGCAGCCTTTGGCTTAGAAAAACGTTATTTTCTTGCATAAACATTCTTAGAAATTACACACAGCTATGTTTGCAAACAAAACAGTTCACCTAGCTTCGTTTCTCGCGTGATCCCAATCCCTTTTTTTGCTGCCAATAATGATCGGAATGCATCATCATATGCCTTAATTTCGAACAAACGCTCGCAAACGATCTGGAATCACCATCTTCGTTGGCCGTCCCGGGTAAATTACATGTAGCTCCATCAAACTAGGCATGGCCTCTTCTTGGATCCGCAACTCATCTAACTTACTGCTCAATTCAAGCTTCCTCAGCCGACAAAAACCTTGTGCGCTGATGCTCATCTTCTTCCTGGGTAATCACATTTTCCAGGACCAGATCTTCCAGTCTCGGAAATTTTGGAAAGCAGACATGAGGTCTTCCTCGATATTTGCTCGGACAATTGTAGAGACTCAAGACTGGGAAAGGATGACATCCATGAATCCAACTGCTTCTTGATTCCGACAATAACGTAAATTCTCACTCCAGCTTGAGGACGCGAAGTTTGTCAGTTTAGAAAAAGAACCGAAGTCCACAGTAGTTTTGTCTGCAAGATCAGAGTAGTCAGATCTCCAAATCCCGAAGATTTTGGAGTAACTCGTGTTTTGTAAGTTTGCTCCAGCTGTAGGATGAGATAGATCTCAAGGTCTGAAGGTTCACTGCGTCGCCTATTAGCAATTCTCCAACGAATCTTCCATGACATGCCTTAGTGATGTGAGGTTACGTAGATCGGTCCTACCACCCTTTATGTAGTTTCCGATGCATCGAGTGTCTGTAGAAACGTTGTAAGTTGGAGATAAAAGCTGGTATATCCTTGATTGAAGTATCAGCGATCCCAAGGTACCTCAGGTGGATTAAACCTCCGATCACATCTGGTAATCTGTCTTGAGATTCACAAAAAACTGAATCCCTCCAGATTAAGCACTCGAAGTAGCTTCATTTTCAAGGCTATGGTTTTATAATAACTCACTCCCATTTCGCTTCGTTCCCCAAAGAACAACAAGGATCGCATTCGTTTGTTCACACGTCTGTCCTCCAAGTAATTTGTTCTTAAGATGGTGAACCACTTCCCTTCTGCAAGTAGTAGATGAATGCTGCTCCTTGTAAACATTTACAAAGTTGAGCTCTTTTGCTTTCTCAACAGCCACATCCCTCAAAAGATCATGGATTTTACAAGACACTTTTCCTCTTCTCTTCTCACTGTTTCTAGTAAGCTTCTGTCTATCAGCTCTTCGATGTAATATCGAGCCACATCTTCCATCATCTCTTCATCCTCTTGTATAAATCCTTCTGCTACAAGTAATCATATCAACTGCTCTACATCGATCTCGTAGTCTTCTGGGAAGACGCTGAGGTAAAGAAAGCAAAGTTTCAACTCGTGTTGCAGCTCCTTGAAACTTAGATCAAACACAGTTGAGAAGTGAATGGAGTCATCTTTAGGCGTCGCCATAAACTGGCATACACATCGTTCCACTCGTTTGGCCTCTTCCTCGACATAAGCCCCCTAGAACGACTATAGCAAGAGGTAATCCACCACATTTTGTAACCATTTCTTTTCCGATTCTCTCCAGGTCTTTATCGACCGGTTTTATACCCCTAAATGCTTTCTGCTCAAACAAGTTCCAGCTTTCTTCAAAGAACCTTAACTTATGGGCGTATACTCTCTCGTCCACACCTTCAGCCACGGCTCGATACGTGTAGTGATGATGACTCTACTTCCATTATGATTCCTTGGTAAAGCTCTCTTCAAGCTCTCCCACGCTTCTCTCTCCCATATATCATCTACCACCACCAAATACTTTTTCCCTTGTAGAAGACCGATAAAGGTAAACTTCTAAATCCTCCTCCGCAAACATCCTAATTTTTTCCATTTCTTCTTGAAGCCACTCCCAAAGATCTAATGATTCTCATAAGCATATCTCTTTTATTATACTCTTGAGAAACATAAGTCCATGCTCGGTACTCGAATCTTTCCTTCACATCCCTGAGTTGTAGAGCTTCCTAGCAAGAGCAGTCTTTCCAAGACCTCCCATGCCGAATATGGAGATCATATATCTCTTTTCTTCCCCATCATCATTAAGAAGCTTTTCCAAAAGAACCTTAGCATCATC